AAAAAGTCTGTATGTGCCTTCTCGAACTCGCCCTCCCTCAGGTGCATTTTACCACCACATTCTAAAAAGAACAGGTCACAAGTCAATGAAAATTAGTGGACTTTACAACTTTACACCATAAACAAAAGACACTGTCCAGTTAAACACACAAAATAAATTAAAAAACTAGCCAAATTGGTTTCGTCCTTCAAAATAAACTGAATAAATGCTTATTATACACAAAACAAAAAGTAAACTTTCCAAACAAACATCCCAATTGTACACTAAACTAAACTTTCCAATTGTCCATTAAAAAAAATAAATATATATATGTGTGTGAGTATATATATATATATATATATATATGAAAAGTTCAGATGCAAAAGCCACTAAATGCCATTTGAAATTTTCTTCTTTAATGATGATTTTTATCAAACTTGTATATTTAAGTTCAGTAATTTCACTTAAATAACAATTAACAGGTAATTATCATTGCCATTTAAGTGAAATCACTGAACTTAACAAGCTTGATAAAAATGATCATTCTAGAAGAAAATTTCAAACGGCACTTAGAGGCTTTTGCATCTGAACTCTTCATATATATATATATATATATATAATATATTAATATATATATTTTAAAAAATAAATATTATATTGGGGGGTTTTAAAACTGGAGTGTAAAAACACCCATCAGAGCAGCACCCAATACCTGGCTAAACCAACCACATCAGCTGTGATCTGCACCAGACATGGGCAGAACGACATCTGAGATTACAACAGACTCTAAGAAGAATCTTTGGTATTAAAATAGACTAAAAATGTGTAAAATACCTCTGATGACTCCCATGATGAGTGGGTGTGGGATGGCTGATTTGATGTGTAATGACTGCTCATAGAGGGCCTTTAGCTTTTTGTTGTTTTTCTGTGCCGTATACATCTGAATCTCCAAAGCATAGATCTCCAACAGCTGAGTGCCCTTCTTCAAGTCGTCCTCTCCGTCATCCGTCTAATTAAGAACATCGATCAGGTTCAGGACAGCACATTAGACATTTGAAGATATCGACAGTTTGGTTTTCTCATTTATGCGACACGGATCATTTACGCTACCTGACATGACTGGTGTAATTGCCTGAGGATTTTCTGAAGCTTTCCAAACTCTTCTCTTTCCAGGTACAACTTTCCCAACTACATGAAACAGAGGAGCAGAAGTTAGCAGTATTCTTGAATTACACATCCTTTCTGCAGTTTGCTGGTCAATTGCACTGCATTGACACAATTATATATATTGAGATTGATAAGTCATTTATACTGTGCATATTATTGTTCTTGTATATCTGTAATATAAAACAGATCATCTAAATACACAATGCACTGCCACAGCACAAACCTTGGTGTTAGTTTTAAACCAAAGTCTGTCATTTTTGGCATCTTTTAAAGCATCCAGTGTGGTCTCATAAAACTCTTGAAGCAAGTCCATCTGGAAAAAAAGGTAAATAGATAAATATTACTTTTTTATCTTTAATAACATAATGAACTTAAATTTTATATATAAAGTGTGTGTGTGTATTAGGGCTGTCACGATATCAGTTTTAACAGAATTTTTTTTTAATTCGAGTAACGCTATACTATTCTACAGAAACCTTTTTTTTTAAAAATGTTATCTGTCAAATTCATCTTTAGTTTGTATATTTCGTGTTTTGCTTTCTTTTTTTAGCTAATGAATCACAACATTACATACAACAATTACAACAACTGAGACTCTGGCTTTCTCTGGCTTCTTTGACACTGCCTAAGAAATAGGAGACAGAAAGAGAAAATACTGTCAAGTTCAACAGTATTATAAATGAGTTTTAAACACAACTAATAGCTTAACTTATTAACTTGTGTCGCCATTTTGAACACATATTTAAGAAAAGGCATACAAAATAGTCCATAGTCGACGAAGCCTATGGACTTTAAACATGGTAGACTATTTAAAAGTGTTTACAGAGAAATTGATTGTCATATTGCCAGAATTTCTTAAAACAATGATAAAATTGATTCTGATATCTATAGAACATTTTTGAGAGATGTTATATTATTTCATTGAGAGGAGATGAAATGCTAACCGTTTTTAGCGTAGCACAGCGTCAAAATACAATTCATGAGAATAAATTCTGCTTTATGACAGATGGCAGCGTAACGGTGCAATAACACCTATTGTACTTTGGATGCTGACCCTGGATTATTTACGTGTCTTTTTATCATATGTGTATTATTCGTTTTAAATATTGCGGTTATCGAGATATATTGTCACGCCCTTAATTAACACAATTTCGATATTTCATGGTTTGAATATCACGGTTATTGTCAATGGCGGATATCGTGACACCCCTGATATATACATATATTACTGAACACAGGAGTTTAAAATGTATTAAATACCTGTTTGGAGGTTGAGATATAATCTAGAATAGAGTTGATGGATTTCTCAGAGTAATTTCTAGTGACAGCACTCCTAATATACGTCAAAAGCTGTTTGTACCGGTTCATCATTTCAGGAAAATTTGTCTGTAAAAAATAATGATAAGATTTTTTATAGTACATCAACATATTTTTGCTAAAAACAACATTTAAGACAATACAGGAGAAAAAGATTTAGAAATATTACACAATATATTATGCTACTATTATTACACACCAGTTTGAAGTTGATCTTAATCATCTGTTTCAGTGCTTTAAAGCCCCATTCTCCTTTCTCACCCTCCAGTTCCAGCACCTGCAAAACAGAAAATAGTGATTATCTATTATCTATCTATTACCTATTCAAAGTTACAGTACAGATGCTGAAATGGAAAGTGTCTAACCTTCTGAAAGCTGCTCAGAGCCGCTTTAGGATCATCTTCTTTGAGGGCTTTAGAGTTGTAGTACTGATTCTCCAAATCAACATTGGGCTCAGAGTTGCTGTCCTCAGAGTATTCCTGAAGTGAAAGCAAACAAATGGTATTTGTAACGTTAATTACAGTTAAAGGATCATTTAATCATAAAGTCTTTGCATGAAAGAAACATCTTGAAGGATATTGAACAGGGTAATGGTGCATGATTGTTGTGATTATGCCAACAGCATGACAACAGTTACGTTAAGATTATTTACAACTGTACATATAATATACATGTATACGTAATAATCAATCTGACAACAAACTGAAATCAGATATCATGCAGTTTCATAACTAGCAACACATTAGCTATAATTTAGTCAACTTCACATGAGTTTGCAAGTTATCAATAGATACATAAGAGATTCGACATCAGAAATCAGGTTTGTAAATACATCGCAATTCTTACGAAACTTCAAATAAACAAACTAAAAGAAGACTGTCATATTTGTTGACTTATTCTTTGCAGTATTAGCAAACTAGCCACCTGCTAAACAACACCATTGCGAAATGAAGTCCCTATTAACACGCTAAACAACATTTACTGATGTCGCTACATTTGCTTAGCATTGAATTACATGCATTTAAAGTTCAGTTTATTTTAGACAGTCGTACCAAGTCATAATCCTCTTCATCATCGCACATGAAATCATCTTCCATGTCAGACATTTTGACCGGAGAGAGAGACTCTTACCCACAATGCTCACGGGCAAAGCGTTATGATGACATCACGCCGCGCGTTCTGTACGGTGCGCGCGCAGCTCCGATTCCTTCCGAGTGTTTCCGAATCCAGTTTGAGAGACTCGTGTGAGTTTCTTCCGTGTTGTTTTGGTTTTAGACGCATGATTCCGGGTATGACAGTCAGCTGACAGCATTTGTACGGTGTCAGTCCACTCCTATAGAGTGTACTTACTGTAAAACAAAGATTAAAAACAGCACAATGGCCACAATTCCACCGAAAATCAAGGTGCAGCTCAGTGGAAATGAAAGGTAACGTTAAGCTGCGACTGTTCGGGACACTTCGTGCAGCTATTCGGAAAACTTCGATTGTGAATGAATGGAGTCCACTTTTAACTTTCTTGTTTGTTTTTTTGTTTGGGTTAGAACGGTTAGACATACACTTTCCCCTCTTTTTGTTAGGTTGCAGAAACTGAAAGAAGCTTTTCATGGAAAATATGGACAAACGCCTCTCTTCTACGCTCGTGCTCCAGGGAGGGTGAATTTGATTGGTGGGTTGCAACTAGCAGTGTGTAAACATAACGAATCCCATCAGCACTGCGTTTTATGTTTTATCATAAATCTTATCATTTCCAGGTGAGCATATTGATTATTGTGGCTATGCTGTCCTTCCAATGGCAATAGAGCAGAATATTCTTGCTGCAGTTTCTGTCAGTGACTCCCAAACAATCCAGCTGACCAACACTGACCCCAAATACAAGTGAGTAACAATCTTTAATTGGTCACATTTTGTCATTATTAATTAATTAATTAATTAATTCAAATAATCATTTGCTTAGTTATTTACTCACTTCATTCATTCACTCACTCATCCCTTATTTACTCATTCACTCACTCATTTATTTATTAGTTCACTTCATGCACCATTCACTCACTCATTAATTAATTCACACATCAATTCACTCACTCATTCACTTTTTAAATTAATTTGCTCATTCATTAATTCACTAACCCATTCATTATTCATTCATTCATTCACACACTCACTAATTCATTATTAATAATTAATTCACTCACTCACTTACTCATTGACTTCATTTATTAACTCAGACATCCATTCGTTCTTTACTCACTCATTCACTCACTTATTTCTTTCCTTCTCACAGGGATTTCACTGTGTCTGTTGATGGCATCACTATTGACAGAGAGAATCCTCAATGGTATTATTACTTCCTTTGTGGAGTGAGAGGAATCCAGGTGGGGTGTTTAATGACACACACAATGCATGTTTGCATTATCTCATTATAATCAGTCATTTGACCCTTGCCCATGTGTATGCAGGAGCACTTGAGCTTGTCTTCATTGGCAGGGATGTGTTGTGTGGTAGACGGGACCGTCCCGGCCAGCTCAGGGCTGTCCAGCTCCAGTGCCCTGGTGTGCTGCGCAGGTCTGGTCACCATGGAGGCCAATCAGAAGTCTCTTTCTAAGGTAGTCCTTAATGTAAATCCTCAAATCTGCATTACATACAACTGCTGCTTGTCATACTGTAGATGTGCTCGCTTTGATTTCACTGCAGGTGACTCTCGCAGAGACGTGTGCCAAGTGTGAGCGTTATATTGGCACTGAGGGGGGAGGGATGGATCAGTCCATTTCTTTCCTGGGCGAAGAGGGAACAGTAAGCCATGTGTATTTCATATTTGTTCTAACAATATATGTGGTATTTGATTTATTTTTGAAGGGTGGATGCTATTTTTTTTTTTGTGTATATGATCAAATTTTGCTTTTTTAAATACAATAAAAAATGCAATTCATACAGTGATCGAATATACCTTTTTTATATAATGAATATGTTAAAATTCATCAAATTAATTTTGATATTTTTTGGGGTGTCCGGGTGTCAACTTGATATTATAATGAAGACAAAATGCCTCATTAAAATGATTTTTAAGCTGTTACTTGTTAAAAATGTCATATAGTACAACGACCCAAATAACTTGGCATTTATAAATGGAAAATCCATGATATTTGTAAAAAAAAAAAAAAAAGGTTTTACTTTGAAAAAAGATATATTTAAAGGTTTAAGGAAAATGTGTTATTTTATTTGATTATTTTTGGTTACATCATTTTGAAAATTGTATACAAGTTATTTTTTTACCATACAAAACCAACATGAATACAAAGAGTACATTTCTAAGGCACTTGTTTTAATGTAGTGTTTTCTTTAAACCTCTTATTTGTTATTGACCCATTGACATTTTTAACACTATGCATTTACATTACAAATATGTTTATGAGGATTTACCTTGATTTGACTTTTTTCCCTCAAGGCAAAGCTGATCGAGTTCAACCCGCTGCGAGCCACAGACGTGAGCTTGCCCGACGGGGCGTTCTTTGTAATCGCCAACTGTTGTGTGGAGATGAACAAGGCGGCGTCATCTCACTTCAACATGAGGGTGGTGGAGTGCCGCATTGCCACAAAGGTCAGAGATGCTTCTAGAATGATAGTTTAAAAAAAGTCTTTGTAATAAGATTTTTTTTGCAAGTTGACCAAAAAGTACACTACATTTAAAGGGATACTCCACTGTTATTCACTTAACTAAGAGGAGTTGATACATACCTCTGTCGTCTCAATCGCTCTGGCGCACGAGACACTTTGATAGCACTTAACTAGCCCAGTTCATTCAACATGGGCCAAGCAGAGAAGCGACCAAACACCTCCACGTTTTCCCTATTTAAATACAGTTACACGAGTAGTGTAAATCGACCTAGGACGGTGACACAAAATAAAACGTTGCGCTTTTCTAAGCGTGTAAAGTGGATAACTATATTGTATGGTGGAATACCATAGCAGTGCTTGGGAGCACTTCCCATCCTAAATTCCGACATTTGCATGAGTATATTGAAGGTGAGCATGTGTGCAGATGCTGGCTAAAGCGCGAGGTGTGGCCTGGCAGCATCTGCTGAAGCTGGGGGATCTGCAGAAGGAGCTGCGGGCGAGTCTGGAGGAGATGCTGGAGCTGCTGGAGGAGGCGCTTCACCCCGAGCCGTACAGCAGAGAGGAGATCTGCAGGACTCTGGGTATCAGCGCAGAACATCTGGATCAAAACATCCTCAGCGCCAACACACAACATGGTGAGAGAACAGGAGGAGCTCAAAATCTGTTCTTACTGGGAAAATAATCATACATTTTCTGGTAATGTTTTTGTAATACATTTAAATATATTGCTTCTATAGATATGATCTACTCTCATATACTGTTCGAATACTGTTCGTTTTCTCACACAAACCGCTCGTTTCGTGTCTTAGGCCGTCAATGTGTACTTACATTTACGAGTCATTAAATCATCATTAAATTGGACTTCTCTGTGCATGCTTTTTGAGGTGGTGACCATAGACCTCCATTATATGACTGAACGGTTTGATCTAAAAATATCAAAATTGAAAATACTGTGGAAACAAAGACACCGACATCTTGGATGCCCTTGAGTCACAGTCTTGTACCTTTTGTCTTATTTTTCGGTAACACTTTATAATAAGGTTCATTAGGTAATGTATTAACTAAAATTATCCAACCATGAGCAATATATTTGTTACTGTGTTTGTTAATGTTAGTAAATAAAAATACAGCTGTTCATTTTTTTTTTTCATTTTAGTTCACAGTGCATTAATGTTAACAAGACTGTATTATAATATATATAACAACAAGTATTAGTAAATGTTGAAATTAACATTAACAAGATTAATTAATGCTGTATGCATGCAGTTCATTATTAGTTCATGTAGTTATTGTAAAGTGTTACCAATATTATATATTATGTCATTTCGCTCTACATCCTCTTCTGTTTGTTCCTCAGCGACTCAGTTTAAACTGTACCAGCGCGCCAGACACGTGTACGGCGAGGCGGCCCGCGTCCTACAGTTTAAGGCTGTGTGCGACTCTTCCCCTGCCAACGGCGTCGCTCAGCTGGGCGAGCTGATGAACCGAAGCCACGCCAGCTGCAGAGACCTGTACGAGTGCAGCTGCCCCGAGCTGGACCAGCTGGTGGACATCTGTCTGTGAGTTAGAGCGCAGTCAGCTGACCATCATGTCATCACACATTATACTCTTACAGTGGAAAACATGTCTGTGTTAGCATGCATTGGGGTTTTTGTTTTATTTTCACATACACTACTGGTCAAAAGTTTGGAATATTTCTTGTTTGTGTTTTTTGAAAGTATCAGAGCCACATTTATTTGAGCAAAATATTATTACAATTTAAAACAAATATTTCCTATTTTACTACATTTTAAAATGTAATTTATTCCTGTGATGCAAAGCTGCCATTACAGTTTAAATGGATAGTTAAAACCTGATACAATATCATTAAAACTTTTGGGGTATGTTGGATTCATAAATGTTTTCCACAAAAATATGAAGCAGCACAACTGTTTTAAACACTGATTATAATATTAAGAAAATGTATTGAGCATAAATCATCATATTAGACTGATTTCTGAAGGGTCATGTGACACTCTAGACTGGAGGAATGATGCGGAAAATTCAGCTTTTATCACAGTTATAAATTACATTTTGAAACATTTGAAAAGTTTTAAACAGTAAACATTTTTTTTATATGCAATTATTTTATACTTTTTGTATAATAAAATTATTGCTGGCTGTTTTTTTACTGTACTTTATTCAAATACATTATTCATTAAAATCTTAACGAATCTGAGTTAATTCACTTTTGACCTGTAGCGTATTTCTTTTATTTGACGCCAAACGAGTCACAAACTACAGGAAATTGCTCGAGTCTGTCTAATGAATTGTAGTTTTATCGAAACCTCTTCCTCTCTTCGCAGGCAGGCGGGCGCCGTGGGGTCGAGGTTGACCGGAGCTGGATGGGGAGGTTGCACGGTTTCCATGGTACCCGGGGAAAAGATAGATTCTTTTCTCCAAACCGTGAGTGCGCGTTATTACAAGCCTGACGCCCGTCGAGCCGCTCTGGAAAAGCAGAGTTTATTTGTAACAAAGCCGGGAGGAGGGGCGGCAATTTTCATAGAGGAATGAAAAGTAGCAGGGCTATGTTCTGTCTTTTTAGCTACACAATCAAGCCTGTGGCCTCAGAAAGAGGAGGGGTTGCGTGTAATGGCGAATCTGATGAAAGGGAAACTGACTTTATAAACTCTGAATGTGCATTTTCACTCTGTATGTTTTGAAAGAATGAAGAAATCAGTGATCATTTTATTTTATACCCAGTTCGAGGTTGTCAGGGCACTAGTAAAGAAGAATTGCTCTATACATTCCTACTTTGAAAGCGTTCAAGGTCAATATTCAACATTCAATAAAAACATTTCAATGTTTCCGACTCTCATCATTACTTTTTTCATTTAATAATAAACATGTCATTAGTGGTTTTTACTACGGTTGCAATAAGCATCACTATTACTGTTGCTCATGCTTGCGTTCAGTATTGTATTCAATTATTACACTTAAGGTGCTTTTAGATTTACCGTTATTTCACAGGCGAAACAATTTCAGCAAGAATCTACGTAACGCGACAGTGAATTTTGCGTGAGGCGTTGACAATAGACTATTTACATTTTTTGCTCGTAAAATTTCCCCCTGCACCTTTAGACACATACTGCATCATAGGAGAACATCATAGCAACCACATAGCAACCCCCCGGCAACCACTCAACAACCCACAGCACTTGAGTAAAAAACTCAAACGATTGTTATATGAAACAGGAAGGCAAACAATCCATTTTTAAATAAATTAAACAATGGCCATTTAATGCATATCATGTAAAAAAATTACAATGAAGTGTATAAAAATCCATGCATTTAAATAAAACCAATAAACAATCTGCATGGTCTGTTGACAAAATCTTATACATTCGATATATATATTTAACATAACATTAAAATAACGTCAACTGTACACTCATAAAAAGGAAATGTTGCACGACGCCCCTCGTCAAATAAATTATTTAAAAAAATATTATCTAAGTAGGCAATGAACAGCTAATATGCTTGTGATACATTCGGAGAAAAAAAAACAAAAAACAGTGCCGCCGCGTTTCAAATGACAAACAGAACTGAAAGTACTTCCTTTGATGAAAGGCATGAAAAAGGCACAAAAATTCCTTCTGTAAAGGGTCCTTTGAAAGAAATGCCCACTTTATAGACCTTTGTAGGAGATAGATGTGGAATCCTAAAGTTTAATCGTGTAAATGCTTCAGTCTATCACTTGATGGAAGGCACGATGAGTTCAATAAAACTCAGTTCGCTGAGCTGCATGCAAAAGCACTAACTACGGACAAGTGAGGAACGTTTTTACACTTCCTAAGATGTTTCCTTTTTTATAAAAAGTGCTATATTTAAAACCAAATTTGGCATTTTAAAATCTTTTAAAACTCAGTTGTGAAGCCAACTTAGGTTTTACAGCCAGTGCTTTTCCTCTGAGGCATTGAGTTCACACATTCCTATTTAGTAGTGCGATTCATTTGGGTGTGCTTTAGTAAACCGAGGGTATTGAAGGAACTTCCAGGTCTTTAAACAAATCCATTGCAGATAGTCTGTGTTTATAACAAAACAAGAGGTATTATTTCCCACGCTTATTCCTCACGGTATTAGTCATTTGCTGAGCGTAAACTCGTGTTTAGTATTGTGCAGGTTATAGAACTCTGGATTTAACGTTTCAGATGCCTAAAACATTCGCAAAGTCATAAAGGGAAGATCTTAGGCCTCAAAATACAAAAACATGCCTTTCTGAGAAAACGTTTGAATCGGTGAGAATACAAAAGGGATCTGAGGTTCATTTTGAAGTTCAATGAACGGGAGCCTTGTGAGACGGATGAGAGTGAAGGAAAGGCTTCATTGTGCTGGCTCTTTGGAGTCTCCTGCGCATGTGTGTCTGCCCAAAATACATTATATTTTCTTATATTAAAGACGGGCACTATTTCCTTTTCCTTCAGTAAAGAAAGAAAAACAGCCCTTTATCTGGCCTCTAAGTCTTCCACCATTACCTCTTGGCTTAGGACTTGTTCTCTCTTAAATCTAGAGGTGGTTGAGGTGGTCTCTTCCGCATTGGTGGTGTTTTGTACCAGGTTGGTGTCCGCAGGGCCTCTCGACGGTGAGGATAGTGGATACGTGGATGTAGAGGATGTTGGTACCTTCATGTTCTTGCCGGAGGTGATGAGTTCTCCGTATCCCTGCTGGTGGGCGAAAGCGTACGCCGAGCGCCGGGAACTCGTCCTGCGGACTCTCCTGAGGTTCTGCTCTTGAGGACCCTGCCGCCTAGTGGCCTGCTGAAGTAAACGCACCTGCGGGAGGGCATACGGTTTCGACAGCTCATTATGATACCCCTCAAAAGTTTGGGCTCAGTAAGATTTTCTCTTTTTAAAAAATAAATGTATACTTTTATTAAGCAAGGTTGGATTAAATTGTTTAAACGTGTCAAAAACATTTGAAGAGTTCAGATGCAAAAGCCTCTAAGTGCCATTTAAAATTTTCTTCTAGAATGATCATTTTTTATCAAGCTTGTATATTTAAGTTCAGTGATTTCACTTAAATGGCAATGATAATTACCTATTAATTGTTATTTAAGTGAAATTACTGAACTTAAATATACAAGTTTGATAAAAATCATTAAAGAAGAAAATTTCAAATGGCATTTAGAGGCTTTTGCATCTGAACTCTTCATTTGTATTATAACAATTCGCTATTCTTTTAAACTTTTTATTCATCAAAGAACCTTGAAAACAATGTATTATGGTTGTCACAAAAATGCTAAGCAGCAATAATGTTTTCATTATTGACAATATTAAGAAATGTTTCTTTAGCTGCAAATCATCCCATTAGTCTGATATTTAGGTCATGTGACATTGAAGACTGGAGTAGTAATGTTGAAATTTGCAGCATTGCATCACAATAAATGACATTTTTAAATATATTCAAATAGAAAACAGTTCTTTTAAATTCACAATATTGCTATTTTTATCGTATTTTGTAACAAATATATGCAGAAAAGCCTCAAAAACATTTAAAAGATCTTCAGAACCCCAAATTTTTGAACGGTTGAGAACAAATTGCATATTAATATTAAATATAACATATTAATAGTTTTTTCTTCCCACTGCTGTAAAACTCATGTATATGTGTATATATATATACACTACACAAACCTTGTCAGTGTGTGTGGGATAGAGGTCAGTCCTGATGAATCGGACCGCCACCATGGGCATAATACACACGACTGTGGTGAGGAGGATGACCAGCCACACAATCTTCTGATTCAGAGAGTTACGTGCGGTACCTAAAATCGAACAAAAAAAAATATTTAACTTCAGTAATATTTGAAAAAGCTGTTTTATTGTACACCGAATGGTCCACCTCTCATTGAGATTATCAGTTGACGACTACTCACTAATATCTGACAATTTTGGTCACAGAATGATCCAATCATTGATAACAAAATGCTGTGAATATGGTTTTCACAATGGAATTTACTGCAGTTTAGGAATTAAAATATATAATATATATATATGACTAAACAATAAAAAAATACTAACGGTATCTCTAAATGCATTAAAATTCTTACCTATGAAAGGAAACTGGTTCGGGAATATGGTAAAAATGCTGTCGCTGTGCAATGCAAAAAGGATTGCAAAGTAAACAGCTAGACTGCCCCATATAAAGAAATGGTTCACAGCGGTCCAGTAGTTGGTGTCAAGCCCAATCTGAAACAAAATGTAATATTTCAACAATTTTTAACACAAATTGTATTAAACTCTTATTTTGAATTAGTCTGAGACATAACGTGTGGGCGGAGTCAGGGACATGGCGATCAAGTTCATATGGTGCGTTCAAGTCATGTAAAGATCGTATTTACGAGTTGAACACCACCACAATATTGTTAATACCAGTGGGAAGCTCAGGATTTTCTTGGCTAGCTAGCCCGCTCATGGTCTGCAGCTGCTGAACTGCGTTGACAATGGATACAAAAATTAGGATAATTTTTTGGCTTCAACTTCTCAGAAAAGATTAATCTTTCCCGTAGCGTAAACTAGCTTACGCGATACTCGTTTCCTCATCTAGAGAGAACCGAGGTTACGTTAAGATAACCGCTTCGTTTTTCCCCATGCTATTAATATCAAACTTGTGGCCAGTGAAAATGTTGGGTGGCTAGTTAAATTGAAAAACCACTTGCCAACAGTGGCTCATGTGCAAAAAGGGTAAATGGGTCATGAACTGGCTTTTTATTTATATATATATTGTTGTCTGAGGTCAATTTATGACGTGCGTTTGGTTTTTACATTTAAAAACATCAAAATGAATAAGTAATAGGCTGTTTTCTACCCTAGTTTTGAGCCTAGCTGAAAAACGCCTGGTTTTAATGGGCATCTCGCACTGAAGACTTGGAAGTAAACGCCCACTGCTGTTTTGATTTTATTTCTGAAGTAGTTATTTTACTGAACTTGAGTTAACAAGCACAATTGTTAAATTGGCTCACCTGTATACTGACCACAATGACCAAAGAGGTTGCTATGGTGACGGCGAAAGCCTGCTGATCAGAGATGTGTGCGCCGTCATCCCGCACAGCGGTCATGAAGGCTCCATATGGGATGAAGAAGAGGATAAAAGAGGTGCAGACCCCCTGCAGCGTACAGGTGAAGAACTTTCTCTTGTTGAAGAGCTGGTTAAGCTGGCCAGGTCTGTACAGGTTAGGATAGCGTAAACTGTACTGCTCGTTCACATCCTGCAAAACCAACAATCTTAATGTTAAAAGGCAAAGATTGCAATCGATCACAATCCAGCTTTCATGACCAAAAAACTGACATCATGACCAGGCGTACCTGATCAAACAGCCCCATGGCCAGAACAGGAAGTGAGGTGTAGACAATGTTGAAGAGTGTAATGAACCACTGGTCATATACTGTCTGCAATGACAAAAAATACATTTACAATCTTCAATTGAAATCATATGCATATTTCATCCACAGGCTGAAATATTTACCTGGGCAGAGAATCCACAGAGGAACCCGTACCAGAAATGAACCAGTGTGAAGGCGAAGTTCTTGTAGAAGAAGTAACAGAGGAAGTTGCACATGCGGTGGTAGGACCAGCGCCCGTGGACGAGCAGGAGGCGCTGCAGGTAGCGGAACTGGGCAAAGGAATAGTCAGAGGCCAACACTGCCTGCATGCCCTCCTGTCCGCTGATGCCCACACCAATGTGTGCCGCTGGGGGAGAGCAGACCGTACACACATCTTTACAGATCAAAAATCCCAGCATATTTCCATAGCAACCACTCTATTAGACCAGCCAGCAGTGCGTCTACATAGAATATTTCAGCCGTATGGCGCATATTACACTCACCTAAAGGATTATTAGGAACACCATACTAATACTGTGTTTGACCCCCTTTCGCCTTAATTCTATGTAGCATTGATTCAACAAGGTGCTGAAAGTATTTTTTAGAAATGTTGGTCCATATTGATAGGATAGCATCTTAATGGAGATGCACATCCAGGGCACGAAGCTCCCGTTCCACCACATCCCAAAGATGCTCTATTGGGTTGAGATCTAGTGACTGTGGGGGCCATTTTAGTACAGTCAACTCATTGTCATGTTCAAGAAACCAATTTGAAATGATTCGAGCTTTGTGACATGGTGCATTATCCTGCTGGAAGTAGCCATCAGAGTATGGGTACATGGTGGCCATAAAGGGATGGACATGGTCAGAAACAATGCTCAGGTGGGCCGTGGCATTTAAACCATGCCCAATTGGCACTAAGGGGGATAAAGTGTGCCAAGAAAACATCCATTACACCACCATCACCAGCCTGCACAGTGGTAACAAGGCATGATGGATCCATGTTTTCATTCTGTTTACGCCAAATTCTGAATCCACCATCTGAATGTCTCAACAGAAATGGAGACTCAACAGACCAGGCAACATTTTTCCAGTCTTCAACTGTCCAATTTTGGTTGTAGCCTCTTTTTCCTATTTGTAGTGGAGATGAGTGGTACCCGGTGGGGTCTTCTGCTGTTGTAGCCCATCCGCCTCAAGGTTGTGCGTGTTGTGGCTTCACAAATGCTTTGCTGCATACCTCGGTTGTAACGAGTGGTTATTTCAGTCAAAGTTGCTCTTCTATCAGCTTGAATCAGTCGGCCCATTCATGCATTGAAGCAACTGCCATGTGATTGGTTGATTAGATAATTGCATTAATGAGAAATTGAACAGGTGATAATCCTAATAATCCTTTTGGTGAGTGTACGTCACAAACTCCTGATCATACTGTGCATTAAGAATAAGATAGATAGATAGATAGATAGATAGATAGATAGATAGATAGATAGATAGATAGATAGATAGATAGATAGATAGATAGATAGATAGATAGATAGATAGATAGATAGATAGATAGATAGATAGGATTGGTGTTGTGGATGTATTATGGCATTGATTAGCAGTAAAATGCCGTCTTACTATTGATCATACTGACGTCATTGGCTCCGTCTCCGATGGCGAGAGTGACGGCTTGCTTGTGTCTCTTTATGAGCTCAACCACCAGAGCTTTCTGCAGTGGAGTGACCCGACAGCAGATGACTGTCTTACACAGACACGCCACGTCCACCAGGATCAGCTCCAGGTCTGCCTCCAAGGCATGAGCCTTCATGTTAGATCAATACACACAAACCTTACATTTACTGACATGTAAACGATGTCAGCATGTGTCGGCAGAACTGTTTCAATTAAGTTAATTTGTGAGAGTCTTGAGTTGATGTCATTGGCCTCAAGGACAGTTATCCAAGCAAAACCAATTTCAGGCACTCTCTACTTTAAAGAAAATGTCAGGATAGTGCTGAACCAAATGTTCTTTTCTGAAGACAACGACCATAGTTAGGAGCTTAGCAACACATTATTAAGACAGCAATTAAGTCAAATCCTCTTCAGGACCCAGCCGGAGGCCCTTACCAAACTGTGTCCGTTGATGATTAAAGCGTACTCGGCGATGATGGTCTCTTCAAAGACGGAGTCACTTGAGTACAATTCTGTCTTTTCCATGTCAAGACCACCGCTGAATTTATCTCCGCTGGGTCCCATGATTCTCTCTTTAGCAGTCCTTTGCAGAAATCAGAAAATGACATTTTATTTTACTATAACAAATAATATTTCAATTAAATGTGTCAAAACAGGTTGTAAGACCTTTAATCTTTGTCCAAGAATGACATTTTTTTAGTTAAACGTTACCTGAGCTCCTGTTGAACCTCAAGCATGGTGTGACCTGAGATTATAAACACCTCGTCCATGTCGTCTCTGAGCATGTTACACGAGTAGCCGATGTTCATCGCCGTCTCTGCAACCACAACAGGAACGAGACACCGAGAATTTGTCTCAATTAGGTCTTCGATCAATGCTATAGGTTCTCATTAGCACTGGTTACCTAGCTTGTCTCCGGTGAGCACCCAGATCTTGATGTTGGCCAAGGTCAGACAGGCAATGGTCTCTGGAACTCCTTCTTGAAGTTTGTCCTCTATCGCTGTAGCACCAAGCAGCTTCAGGAAAATGAGAGACATTTTCAAAAGCAAAATGCATCATAACGCAGTTTGAAATCATTGTGATCGACTGAATGATTCATCTGGGATTTTTTATTTTCTATTGTAAATTAGGTTGTCTCAATTTGCATAGACGGCACGGCAAGCATTAGCATCAGGGTTTGACTTTAACTTTTTTGCTCATGAGCCACTGTTGGCTAGTGGTTTTCCAAAGTTACTAGCCACTCAGCATTTTCACTGGCCACAAGTTTGACATTGATACCATGGGGAAAAACTGCCATATAGATATTTAAAAATAGACAGACAGACAGACAGACAGACAGACAGACAGATAGACAGATAGATAGATAGATAGATAGATAGATAGATAGATAGATAGATAGATAGATAGATAGATAGATAGATAGATAGATAGATAGATAGATAGATAGATAGATAGATAGATAGATTATATAATAGATATATAAATACATAGACAGACAGACAGACAGACAGACAGACAGACAGATAGATAGATAGATAGATAGATAGATAGATAGATAGATAGATAGATAGATAGATAGATAGATAGATAGATAGATAGATAGATAGATAGATAGATAGATAGATAGATAGATAGATAGATAGATAGATAGATTATATAATAGATATATAAATACATAGACAGACAGACAGACAGACAGACAGATAGATAGATAGATAGATAGATAGATAGATAGATAGATAGATAGATAGATAGATAGATAGATAGATAGATAGATAGATAGATAGATAGATAGATAGATAGATAGATAGATAGATAGATAGATAGATAGATAGATAGATAGATAGATAGATAATATACACTCACCGGCCACTTTATTAGGTACCCCATGCTAGTAACGGGTTGGACCCCCTTTTGCCTTCAGAACTGCCTCAATTCTTCGTGGCATAGATTCAACAAGGTGCTGGAAGCATTCCTCAGGGAGTTTGGTCCATATTGACATGATGGCATCACACAGTTGCCGCAGATTTGTCGGCTGCACATCCATGATGCGAATCTCCCGTTCCACCATATCCCAAAGATGCTCTATTGGATTGAGATCTGGTGACTGTGGAGGCCATTTGAGTACAGCGAACTCATTGTCATGTTCAAGAAACCAGTCTGAGATGATTCCAGCTTTATGACATGGCGCATTATCCTGCTGAAAGTAGCCATCAGAAGTTGGGTACATTGTGGTCATAAAGGGATGGACATGGTCAGCAACAATACTCAGGTAGGCCGTGGCGTTGCAACGATGCTCAATTGGTACCAAGGGCCCAAAGAGTGCCAAGAAAATATTCCCCACACCATGACACCACCACCACCAGCCTGAACCGTTGATACAAGGCAGGATGGATCCATGCTTTCATGTTGTAGACGCCAAATTCTGACCCTACCATCCGAATGTCGCAGCAGAAATCGAGACTCATCAGACCAGGCAACGTTTTTCCAATCTTCTATTGTCCAATTTCGATGAGCTTGTGCAAATTGTAGCCTCAGTTTCCTATTCTTAGCTGAAAGGAGTGGCACCCGGTGTGGTCTTCTGCTGCTGTAGCCCATCTGCCTCAAAGTTCGACGTACTGTGCGTTCAGAGATGCTCTTCTGCCCACCTTGGTTGTAACGGGTGGTTATTTGAGTCACTGTTGCCCTTCTATCAGCTCGAACCAGTCTGGCCATTCTCCTCTGACCTCTGGCATCAACAAGGCATTTCCGCCCACAGAACTGCCGCTCACTGGATGTTTTTTCTTTTTCGGACCATTCTCTGTAAACCCTAGAGATGGTTGTGCGTGAAAATCCCAGTAGATTAGCAGTTTCTGAAATACTCAGACCAGCCCTTCTGGCACCAACAATCATGCCACGTTCAAAGTCACTCAAATCACCTTTCTTCCCCATACTGATGCTCGGTTTGAACTGCAGGAGATTGTCTTGACCATGTCTACATGCCTAAATGCACTGAGTTGCCGCCATGTGATTGGCTGCTTAGAAATTAAGTGTTAACGAGCAGTTGGACAGGTGTACCTAATAAAGTGGCCGGTGAGTGTATATAATAGATAGATAGATAGATAGACAGATAGATAGACAGATAGATAGATAGATAGATAGATAGATAGATAGATAGATAGATAGATAGATAGATAGATAGATAGATAGATAGATAGATAGATAGATAGATAGATAGATAGATAGATAGATAGATAGATAGATAGATAGATAGATAGATAGATGGATAGATAGATAGATGGTCTCAATAATACTAGTCACATTTACCATCATGCCCTGCTCTATTTCGTCATACAGAGCCCCGAGTTTTTCTTCTCTGTTATCTAGTGTCGTGCTGGCGAACAGCAGTTTCTTCATCCATTCATCAAACACGTCGTCATCCAGGTCTTTGTACGCCAGCGCTAATGTTCTCAGACCCTCCCCGGCGAACTCCTATCACACAGAAACAGAGGACACTCATTTAGCAGAGGGATATATTTATCTCTCACCATGAAACTTGAAACTCCGTCAATTATAATTACATCAAATATTTCTTCAGTGAAAATAAGGAGCACGCTACGCAGTTCTTCCCATCTTTGATCTGATTTTCTCTGCTTGAAATCATTATTTGCTATTTTTATCCCACTAGCATAGCTTCTCCAGTGACGTACGTCTAATTGCACTTTAAGGACCCACAAAAAGCCATAAATGAGACATGAATAATGGACAGCGCCTCATAGTCTGTAATAAGTACAGCCCATAGGTTGCTTTTAGACTGACCAGTCGAGCTATAGACAATATTTGTTTCTTTGAATATGGTTTGAGAGGTTGATTTCATTGATAACATTTAAACTACACTTCTACATTTTCAGAGGAAATTCTTCTGGGTTTTGCAATAGAAGTACATTTGTCGAAGTAGCTAATATAAATGCTAACACAAATGTAAAGGCAAGGACATTAAAGAAACACACTGCTTGAAGCCACCCAATGTGTTTGTATAAAGCGTTTTCCATCTGAAAAGCCTACAAGAAACTTAATGGAATTGATCTGAATAAAATAAAGCTTATCTCTACTAAGACAGAGCTTTTAGCCATGGAGAAAATGAGCCTTGTTTGTATCGATTGTGCCGCTCTGACACTCACGGTGTGCATTTGCTGTAATTTGTCAAGTGGAACGGTGCGTCTACACCTCTAAGTGTCACGATTCTCAAGCGCATTCAGTGGAGTAGAAACAAACACAGGATGAAAAGACTTAAAAAATACAAGAATCTGCATTTACCTGAAGCTTAAAATAAATTTAGGTTTTTAGTGATGCCTGAATAAAGCCAAAGTTTGGTAACAGTATGAGTATACCACGGTATTTCGATACTATTTCAAGGTCATGAGGCACTCCAAAGAACTTGTTTTAGCCTAAAATGACAAAGATTACCATGATAAATGAAATGGTAAAATGAACTTGAAAGAACATGGTATTTATTATTATTTGCCCAAAACGTGGTTTAATCATGGTATTGCATTCAAACAACATATTAAGGTGGTAAATGTCCACCGTCATGGTTTCACTACGATACTGTATCCAAATAACATGATTTTATCATGGTAAACACCTAACAACATGGTTTTACCATGGTTTTACTATACAAATAACATGGCATTTCCATGGCACGTCCAACACATGGTGTTGGATCCAAATTAATGCCCCAAAACATAGAGTTACAATGGTATTATATGTAAATAACATGGTATTACCAAGTAAAATTCAAATGATATGGGATTGTCATGGTAAATGCCACAAAACATGGTATTTCTAAAAAAAAAAAAACATGGCATTAGCATGGTAAATGCCAAACAACATGGTTTTCGCTTTTTGCATCTCGCTTTTTTGGCCAGGTCGCCATTGTAAATGAGAATGTGTTCTCAATGTGCTCACCTGGTTAAAAAAAGGTTATATTTATTATCATTATAGTAAATGGCAAAAAAATGGTATTACTATAGTAAATACTCAACAACATGATTTACAATGGTCCTGCATCCAAATAACATGGTATTATCACAGCACATGAGCAAAAACATGTTTTTATCATGGTGCTGCATTCATATAACATGGTATTGCAAAAGTGCATGCCCCAAAACTATGGTTTTACCAAGGTAAATACCCCCATGCATCTAACTGACATGGCATTATAATGTAAATGGCCCAAAACATAGTTTAAACATGTTATCTCAACCAAATAACATAGTACATTCACAAAAAAACATGTTATCGCTATAATACATGCCCAAAAATGCTATTACCATGGTGCCTCATCCACACACACACACAAAAAAAAACAGTAATATCCTTCATGGTACTCTTTTGATACTTTTTTTGTTATTGGCAGCACACCATAGTACTATACTAGCAAGGGCACAACATCCAGAACATAGGGCTAAGCTAGGCTGATGTTTTCTACAGGGAAGGATGGCTTAACAATAGAGACTCACATTAAGGTGCTCTGAGGTAGTAAACACAAGCTCTTCATTAGATGGGTCCAGCCTGTCGAAGACAATAGTGTCAGCTCCTTTTGAGTAAAGCTTTAACTGCCCCTTTGGGTTCCTCACTGCGGAAGAGACAGGAAATGCATGTGCTACTTATAAATATACAAGTATACAATAAAACAGTTTCAACAGACCATAAAGCTATTGATTCCTCTATGTGAATGGATGAATTATGCATTCAGACCCATAAGAGAGAGAATTATGTCGGGGATGATTCATAGATTTTGTGAAATATTAAAGGTATCAGACAATACAAGATTGTGACTAAGATTACATAATATATATATATATATATATATATAAAAATAAATAAAAAAATTAATGAGAACCAACCAATGACGCTCATTCTCTTCCGGACGTTGTTGAAGTCTAAAATGGCTATTAGCTGATAGGTGACCGCCTGACCCATCTCATATAAAGTGATGGTTTCCGGCGTCCGAGACCGGAATACGAAGCCAAAGTTGCGTGCAGCAGTCACCAGGGCTCCTTCATCCGGAGACTGTGCCTGATACACCAGCTCACCTTCAACATGGAATCATTTCAGAGGTATTTCAATCAAAGTCCACTCAAAATCTCTTCTGCTATTCAACAAAAGTGTTACTAGGATGTGAAGATATATTTAAGGTGTCTGGGGTCCAGTTTACCCTCATTTCTCTCCTCTGGCATGACGGTGTGGCAGAGCGCTAACAGACGGAAGAATTCCTGCACCAGAGGCTCTTCCAGCTTGATGGCCTCAACCAAACTGCTGTCATGGAAACGGAATTTCCGGTCCATCAGTGGGTTGAAGGAGAAATCTACACATGGTGTTTTCTGCAAGAGTCAGAGACAAGTGTGACTGCCAAATCTGTTTTTTGTTTATTATATTTAAAAACATATATATATATATATATTATAGGTATTTATAAGTAAGGTAGTTGTTGTAGTAGTTATGTTTAGGTATTGGGTTGGGTAGGATTAAGGGATGTAGAATATGGTCATGTAGAATAGCATTAATATGTGCTTTATAAGTACTATAAACAGCCAATATGCTAGTATGTAAGCCGAAATGTATCATTTTCCTTTTATCCCTGTAAAGCCGCTTTAAAACAATCTGTATTATATAAAGCGCTATATAAATAAAGTTGACTTGCCTAATAAGAAACGAGTAATCTAAAGTGTTACCAAACATTTGAATATACTATAACCAGATGAGTAAAGGTTGGAGACAAACTTTGATGTTGGCTTGACAAAGTTTAGCATTTTGCTAGAATGAATAAGAATGTTGTTTGCATGATTGGCATGTTATTATCATTGGCATGTTCATTGCATCATTGGCATGTTACCGACATGAATTAACATGTTGCTAACATGTTTTAACATGTTTCAGCACGTTGGTGGCATGAATTAACAAGTTGAATCAACATGTTTTAACACACTGCTAGCATTATTAGCACGTTGCTAGTATGTTTTAACACGTTGCTAACACGAATTAGCATGTTTTAACAGTTTGCTAGCATAATCTAATACTTTGCTAGCTTGAATTAGCATGTTGCTAACATGTGCTAGCAACATGCTAGTTGAGATGACTAAACGCCTGTGAAAAGTCGACTCGATGTCGGCGATATGTTATGCCCTAAATTAATACATGATTAACGAACTGTATTTTTTCTATGTACATTTCTAAAAAAAAGCTGCTTTGAAACAATGTGTATTATGAAAAGTGCTATACAAATAAATTTGAATTTTATATTTAATGAATTAGCATGATGCTAGCATGTTTTAACACACTGCTAGCTAGCATGAATTAACATGTTGTTAACACAATTTAACACTTTACTAGCATTTATTAGCATGTTGCTTGTAGCATGTAGCATGAATTACCATGTCTAACACTTTGTTAACATAATTTAACACTTTGGTACCATTAACATGTTGCTAGCATATTTTAGCATGCCGCTAGCATGAATTAGCATGTTTTAACACATTTCTAACATGAATTAGCATTTTGCTAGCATTATTTTTCACTTGGGTAGCATGAATTAGCATGTTGTTAACAGTTTTAGCATGTTGCTACCAGACATTAACATGAGCATGTTGTCTTATGATAGTCATTAAGCTTTGCTATTGATAGACAGCTAAAATACGCAATAAGTCTTAATGTACAAAGGTTTTGCTCAACCCCCTATGCGACTTTTCGGCGTTTTTTTGATCGTCCGTTTAATGAAAATCGTAAGTTGGATCAGCTAGAAAATATATAGCAGACGGAGCCAGAACAATCTGAAAGAATTGTTTAAAATATTAAAAATTATTAAAAATAATTATTAATAAATGTAATGAATGAATGAATTAATAGAAATAATTTAAATAAATAACTTCATTACCTCTGTAATATCCACTTTATGCCCAAACTCATCATAAACATCACCTAGACAAACAAAATCACATCTATTAATACATATATCCACATGTGTCTGTAAGTGTGGGCGTATAGCAGGAAGTGTTGAAGCGTACCGTAGGTCTTCCCATTGATGGAACACTTATTGAACACCATGATGTTCTGGGTCAGGGTGCCTGTTTTGTCTGAGAAGATAAACTCCACCTGGCCCAGCTCCTCGTTGAGGGTGGTAGTGCGCGCCTCGGCGGGAGTCTCCTTGCGGCTGTAGTACATTCGTCTGTCCCAGTTTATGAAGTAACTGTGGCCCAGCCGCAAAACTTCTACGCTGTAATATAGTAAGTTTTACGTTAATTGTCCAAGTCTTTTTTTTTTGTCGTTAAAGGTGTAGTAAGCAATTTATGACAAACGCTGTTGAACATTTAAATCAACACCAAAACAAACAATTGTATGAATGTTTGGTAGATGTCCATTAATTTTTTGTGTGTTGTACTTAGTCCTGGCTGTGTAAATAGAAGAATAAAAGTCATGCCTGGTTCAGATTACGCAATTTTAGCCCGATTTTGGCACAATCCGTTTGACGTAGGGTGTCGTGGGGATTCGTAAACGACAACGGGCGTCAGGACGCAAGATTCAATCGTATCATCTCGTATAGTGTGGCGTAGTGGGCGACAACCTACGTCGCTTCAAAACATCACGACAAAAAGACTAGAAATCATAATTGACTTAGGCCTGGTTTCACAAACAGGGTTTAGATTAAACCAGGATTAGGCCTTAGTTCAATTAGGGCATTTAAGCTTTTAAAAACATGCCTTAGAAAGAAAGAACAAAATTACTGGTGTGTGTATCTTGAGACAAAACAATGCCCATGACATATTTTAAGATACGCTGCTTTCAGTTAAAACAGCTCAAACATGTATTTTAGTCCTGGACTATCTTAAGCCATGTCTGTGAAACCGGGAGATAAAGTCATAATTATGTCTAAAAGTATTAGGAGATAAAGTCATAATTAGGACATTAAAAGCATCATTTACCACAGCATGCTTTTTAAAATCTCAATTATTAGATAAAGAATCAAAATTATGACATTAAGTTAAAATTAAGAGATACACCCCCGGTTTCAGAGACAAGGTATAAATATGAACATACTTCATCGTTAATGTGAAATTCAGGTCCTGAAGCAAAACCAGTTTACCACCACATTGTGTGATCTGACCTACCTAACATAAAGTGAGATGGGCACAACAGTGTTCAGTATGATAACGTAGGACCAGAAGGTCAGGAAGCCAGACAAGACTGAATTGATCGTGAGTTGCTTCCACTGAAGATACGCCCAAAAGTCGCTGCCAACACTCTGCTCCCAAATGGTGTTTCCGATGGCCAGGATGATCCCCATACAGATGAGAAACCCAAAGATCTGGAAAACCAGGAAATATGTCACTACTGAATCATTTTCAATCCTCAAAATGAAAATTCTCACATCATTTAATCGCCCTAATGTCGTTCCAAAGACTTTCATTCATCTTTGAAACACAAATCAAGATGGTTTATATAAAATCTGAGTGATTTCTTTCCCTCCACTTAAAGTCTATTCACCAAAAACTCGGAGGCTTAGAAAGAAACACGATCCCTTATATGTTGAACAGGTTTATGATTTGTGTTTCGAAGATTTGTGCTTCGAAGATGAACGAATGTTTTATGGGTCTGGAATGACATGAGATTGAGCAATTGACAACATTTTTGGGTGAACTATCCCTTTAACACATACAAAGCGTTTTACAATCACGAGTAAGTGAGATGCCACATGTCGATCGTTCCCAGCATGCTCCACACACACTCACCCACAGCACTAAGGTGTTCATCAGTTTGTCGATGCTGGTCCGTTTGAACTTCGTCCTCCCACAGTTTTGCATGAGCTTGGTTTGGAGTCCTGATGAAGACAATCAGAACAGAGTTCATCTCAGGACAGATCACGGTGTGCTTTAGGAGCTAAGCATAGATAATAACATTAATTACAGATGAGGCAGAAGAACTAGGCAGTCAATATGTCTCTGAGGAACATCTACTCAAGATAGCCAATCAATCGTCTGTGAAACTGCCATTAGGCTAGGACTATTGAAGAGAAATGTACCGGCGAAGATGACCAAGCCGAAACACCACTCGGTGTTACGGAGCACACATCCTCTCAAGAGCATTTTCTCGTTGTCCAGAGGATACTTATTATCTTCCCAGTATAGAGTCCCTGTGAACTTATCCAGTTTGTTGTTGGGAGGTTCGCAGATGACTTCCCCTGGGAGACACGTTCAAAGACAACATGAGACTTTTTTTTTAATCACATCATCATTTATCATTAGACACTTTCACCTATTGGAAAGTCCACCAAAAGTGAAAGTCCTCCAAAAATCTCTTTAGATTGTATGCGCGTGAAGTCGCGACTGGGGATACGGCCACCGAGTGGCAAAGAGACTGAGCGGCAGCATTGTTTTTCAGCGTGAATGCCTCGAAGAACACACAAAACACGTCTAAAACAGGAAAGAGCTTCGGGATTGACTATATAAAAAGATTTGACAAGAAATCTGAGGTATATTTTTTACTACCGAAAGCTACAGAAAAGAAAAAGCAAATGGGTCACTGCAATTCATAGACAACAGGACTCCAGGCAGTGAAAGGTGGATTTTATCATTTTGTGTCAATATGCTGAATTTTGTAGTCAAATCATATCCTATTGTATTGTTACATATTGTATTGACAACTCATTAATTAAATATTTACCATCGTATACACCCCCTTTTTTTAGAATAGACATGGAAATGCACCTTTTAAACTTAAATGGTTGTAATTCAAGAATGCTTTGGGATATAGACGTAAGATTGGTCTTGTTTTAAAGAAGACGTGAAAAGAAGTGAAAAAAATTAAGAAAGTGAAACAGAAAAAAAAGTTATAGAAGTTTGAGTTCATATTTTATATCAAATATATATTTTTAAAACCTGGGCTACTCTAAAACTGCAGAAAAAAATGAACAAGTTGTTTCAAATTTTAGGTTGATATCTCAAAAAATTGTTTGGGCGCAGTACCACTCTTTTTCTAGATTACAACCAGACTCCATTACTGCCCATATAAGGGCGCCTCCATTTCCATATGCGTTTTGAGTGATACGAACCATTATTTCCACAATTTTCATACAAATTTATGAAGTAGACATCCTATTCAGAAGTAGTAGGGGAAGTTCGGCAGATTTTGATATGAATTCGACCTCTAAGAAACGCTATGTAATCTGATGTGGCAGTGAGTTATAGCTCACTGCCACATCACAAATGGTGAATTTATTATTGTTTTTCTTTATATTTAAAACATTTTCAGACAATTTTTTTCTAAAATAATTGAATGGATGTTATCTTTTGAACTCTTCTACCATTTTTTCATGATTTTTTATGTTCATTGCCATTTCAAAATAAAGGTCTTAGGGGAATATTCTTGTCGAAAATTGATAAATTACGGCTCCTCTGTAATTTATTTTTAAAATCAATCACCAAATATGGAAACTAGAGATTGTAAGCTTTTAAATGATATATAGTTTGTCAATATTCATTTCTAAGATATTATTGTTTTAAAAATATAATTGCAACCGTCCCATCTGTGGGACGCTGACAGTTTAAACAAACACAAGCAAAAAAAAACTTTAAGTTTTAGGGCTGGACGATATAAATACATATATAATATTGATATAAGTGATCACCCGGATTTAGACCTACCTATATTGTATTTATATAAAGATTTCATAGGCAAACTTACTTTATCTATTTCCCTGGCATCGAAATCAGGCACATATAAATGTCAGGAAACATGACTCCTGGCTGCGTGTCAATATCCATGGATCATAGGATCTTTGGTAAGTTGTAAGGAACACCATATTGAGTCCAACCTTTAGTTTAAACTGATAATCATTTGTTTTACTCGCATTTTCACAGTCTCACCTATTAAATTCAGTCCGGCTGAGGGGGTTACGTCAACGCATACCCTCTATTCTGTTCTTTCATTGAAAAGCCATTTTTTAACTTCTCTTCTAAAGGGCCATGCCTTTAGTAATTGTTCGTATTACAAACAATATGGAATGAGTGTGTTCAAATCCCTAATCTACCTAATTAGAAGCTTTGGAAATAGTAGTACTATAGCCAATATATTTTTTTTTCCAATTTCACAAATGAAATGGGCTTCGCTCAAGATAAACTTGCAAAAAAACAAGCAAAAACAATGCAAATCTCATTACAATCGCTCCTTCGAAAGAAATACATGAGCATACCAGAGGTGCCGCGAGAGAAAGTCACAGAGATCGATCTAATCGATGTGACAGATGCAATAAGTGTTTATGTTTACTCGTGTTGACTCAAGTTCATTTCTGTTGATGGTGCACTAATGGTGTGTGTGTGTGTTTGAATAAAAGCTTTACCATTGAAGTCTGCAAGCCTGGAAACATCGTCCCCGAGGTCTGAGGTTACAGTCAAGGCTTGGCGCACCTTCAGGTTGGTTTCTCTGTTGGAATTGGAAAGAATCGATAGAATGAAACAGGCTCATGATCGTGTCATGTTGTCAGTCACAAAATCGAATTGGAGATGCTTGTGCTGGTTGTTGAACACGTCCAAAGGGAAGTGAAGTCAAGTCAAACATATTTATATAGCGCTTTTTACAATATAGATTGCATCAAAGCTGCTTCACAATATCAATCAAGACAACTTAACAGTGTTTGTTTGTTCATGGAAAAAAAGACAATCAAGTTTGGTAGAGCTGATCAATGATGGGTAATTTAATTTGAATATCCCCAACTGAGCAAGCCAAAGGCAACAGTGGCAAGGAACTGAAAAAAGTACAAACCTTGAACAAAAAGTACAAATGAAGCATGCAATATTAGTGCCACAACACACATTTCACAGAAAACATCTCACCCATCTAGCTCTGCAGTCTCGATATAGCAAAGTCCATAGGGCTCACTGCTGGAGAGGAGGAGAAGGTCCGCCTGTACACAGGAGAGAAAGCGGACACGGAAAGCTGTGCAAAAGTCATAAATCATGTGCTGGATGAGTCTACTCCACTCTTTACACTACGGTGCCATCATCTACTAAAGTCCGCAGATAATGCCAGTCATATTGGGAACATCAAAATCTTTTTCTGTCAATTTGATGGTATAGTTTTTGTATTTAGGTGCCAAAGTTTGTGCTTTTTTTTCTATGGCAGCCAATTCCTGATGGCAATTGGTGCCACCAAATTTTCAATTACATTTACGCAAATAACTTTTAAACTTTCAATCAGGGATAAAAAAAAATGCTAAGGGCGCCACAAGATTTCGTTCAATTTTTCAAATAAAAAAAAAAACAAAACAAAACTTTAAATAAGCTAAAACCACTAAAAATCAAGATATTTCTTATTTTAATTCACCCCCAAACTTCTAATATTTCAATTTCATTACATTTAGTTCAAATTTGAATCTATGGACACTACTAAATATTAAAAAAATTAATACACTCACAAAACACAATTTCTGCCTGATAATATTATTTTCACTTTCTTTGAGTTTAGAGAAAAAAATATTGTATATATATATATATATATATAAATATATTTTTTAGTTTAATTATTTATTATTTTAGCAAACAAATTTATATAGACAAACTAATATAAATAGAAAACATTTTGTCCATTTTTCAGTTTTAGGTTATGACAAAAGATATTATTGGCTTATTGCATCAGCCTAATTACTTTTTTTGTTAACAACTTTATTTTTAAGCAAAACTGACTGATGATCTTCAGACCAGTTTTTATAAGTATAATTTATTATTTCATTCCAATAAAAACAGGAAAGAAACAAATGAATTTGACCCTAAAGAAGCGAATCTGGATCTCGACCATAGTTTCACTATTCGAAATGAATCAGTCTCAGAACAGTTTTAGACCATTAAAGTCTATAAATTATAAATTAGGGTTAAATCTGCTCATAAGCTTTGAGGCAATTGGCATAAAATAATATTTCTGATGTTGTTTAACTCATTGGATTGTGATTAGTACAACGCTCGTGATGTGATTACCATATCCGCTATATTTATTATATTTGCCATTCTAAAGTTAGTCTGTTAGACTGTATATATATTGGCAAAATAATCAAACTTACAGCAACAAACTGATTGTTCTCAAGTTTGATGATATCACCCACTCTTACATTCATCCATTTTTCAATCTGCAGTCTGAAAGAGAGACATTTTGTGTTACAGGTCAATCGTTAATCATTTCCTAAACATCCCTTAAAGCATTTACAATTCAAAAACTGTGTCTCAAGCAAGACACACAGCAGAAAATGCTAATATGTGGCATAAATGCACTTACTTTCCTTTGATGAGTACCTGAGACTGCCGGGTGTTGACTTGTTCATCACTTTTATGGCGGAACTAAAATCCAAAACAGATCAATTACAACAAACATCGGTTTATCTTATTTCAGGCAGCCCACAAACAGTGGTCTACCTTTCTGAATGCAGTGTTCAGAGTTGTAAAGATAAACAGGACAAGAATAGATTCTCACAAAGTCATCGGTAGCATCCTTGACAGCTGTGATAGCAAGAACCAACACCAAAGGCACAATGGTTGTGAACCACGAAAGAGATGAGATTTCTGGAATTAACTAGAACACACAAAAGAGTATTAATGTTGTATAACATTGAAGAGATTGTTTACCCCAGAATAAAAATACTGTCATCATTTATTCACCCTCATGTCATTCCAAACCTGTATGGCTTTCTTTCTTTTGCAGAACACAAAACAAGATATTTTGGACTGTTTTTGTCAATACAGTGAAAGTCAGTGGGGTCCAAAAGTAACAATGGATCACATTTTATGGCCAAAAAAAGTCATTTTTCAAAACGTTTTTCTATTGTGTTGTACAGAAGAAAGAGAGTCATACAGGTTTGGAACGACATTGCCAGTTGCCATATGCATAACCCCATTTGGTAACACTTTACTTGAAGTGGTGTGAAGTGTAACACTTTACTTGAGGTGTTACCCAACATTTTCAGTGTAATGTAGAACCAAATCCATGAAATTCAGGATCAAATCGCTTTATAAATGAGGCCTCAGATTTATGAGGCCTTCAGTAATTTCATAAGTGACCTTAAAAGGCTGGCAGACCTGCAGTATAAGCAGTACTAGGAAGTAGGCGTTCGCAAAACGCTGAAACTGCTCGAACAAGTTAATGGGCAGGAAGGTGAACACGTTGTATTTTGCTGTCTTGATGCAATTGTCCTGAGAAAGAATCAAAGAAAAGACAATTACAATACAAGAAAAGTTTCTTTCAACAGCACATTTTAAAACAAATGTTGACCTAAGTGCTTTAAAGATACACTACTATTTAATGTTTTTGAACATCTTAGAAGTCTCTGATGCTCTCCAAGGCTGCATTTAATTGATCAAAATACTATAAAACAGTAACATTGTGAAATATTACGACAATTTACAATAACTGTTTTCTGTGTCAATATTTTCTAGGGCTGTCAAACGATTAATCGCGATTAATCGCATCCAAAATGAAAGTTTGTGCTTACATAATATATGTGGGTGCACTGTGTATTATTATTTTGTATATATATATATATATATAAAAATACACGCACATGCTTGTATATTTTAAAAAAAAAAATAATATTTATGTTTATATGTAATATAAATTATAAATAAATCTATGTACATGAAAATGTTTCTTAAATATATACAAGCATACTGTATTTATATATATAAAATAATTATACACAGTGCACCCACATATATTTTGTAAACACAAACTTTTATTTTGGATGCGATTAATCACGATTAATCGTTTGACAGCCCTAATATTTTCAAATGTAATGTAAATTTTCAGCACCAATATTCCAGTCTTTAGTGTCACAAGATCCTTCAGAAATTATGTGCTGATTTGATTATACATTTATATTTACATTTACATTTTACGTGTTAAACATTTATTTTATTTAACACTACTTTTTTTTTTTTTGTCGAAACCATCTTTTTCAAGATTCTCTAGTGAACAGTAGAAGGTAATCACTTGTTTTGAATAAATAATGAACTAACTTGTCAAGTATTTATTAATTAAAGGTGCAGTAAGCAACATTACATCAGTGAACTGAGGGGTGTGAACTGTGGGTGTGTTTGTTTAGGCTGAACAGTTTCTCAGAAATCGCTTACTGTACCTTTAATGTTAATTTCAATCAATCCATTCAATGCATTATTAAAATAAAAAGTTGCATTTGTTAATATTATTCAATTGGAACTGAAGTAACATGAACTAACTAGCATTACTAAAGATTAATACTGTGACTGTGATTAATGCATGAAATGGGACCTCATGGTAAAGTGTAACCAATAAAACACATGTATAGACTTACAGCATAACTGAACCTCTCATTGTAGTCCCGATCGTTGGCTCGGACATGTCGTTCCTCCTCTAGAGTTGAACAGACGTTAAGTTTAGTAAATTATTGGAAAGAAACACATGAGGCACCATCAAGTACATTTCCATACTACAACAGACGTGAACTTTCAAAACTAAATGCACTAACATACAAAAACCAATATCCACTGTGTATCTCAATATCAGTCTGGATTAGTTTGTCCACTAAAAAGATACTCTCATAATAATCTCCTCTTACTTTGTTTCTGGAAGCAAACGAGGAGCCGTAAATGGACTCGATATTTTCAAAAGCCACTAACAGCGATGTCTCAAGAGCGATGCCAGTGAATGTCACGCACCAGATTAGGGAAGTTAAAATAGAAAGTGTGTAAGCGAGAACCTATCATCGATTCTTAGAAATCAAACATCTCCGGGGAGAAGTTTCCATAGATCTTCCAGGATATTTCCCCCAGTTTATCATGTCACCCTCCCAATCCCACAAGTCCTTGAAGCTCTACCTTGTCCGGGTGATTTCGAGCATGGGTTCCAGCCTCCTCTCCCTGGTACTAACATCCATAGCCATCGCAGCGCCATTGCCTGTTTGCAGTGTCATTCTTCGAGTGACACAGACAAACGTTCAGGCGGATTAAACCCTAACTTCAGTGCAAATCATATTACAGTCATTAACAAACCATGAAGCACAGCATAGTCTGCTTTCTGTTGGGTAGCTAGTGTGTGGAACGCAGCAGACATTGCCTTACTTGCAGGGCTTATGCTTATTAGCATAAAACTACTCCTAATCATCTACTAGCTCTCAACTGAGGAATCAGGGAGGCGTCTGGCATTATAAACACAGTCCTTGGTTTCCTAGAAGTTGAAGTTACTGAAGTTGCTCTTTTATAATTTGCTGATTAGAAAATGTCTGAGATATACAGTAAAGGAATCAGTAAAGGGATGTTCGTAGACGTTGAATGAACGTTTCTCACTGACACGCCCCCAACTCAACCCCAACCGAGCTCCCCACTGGTATTTACGACATTGTGGTGGCGTTCAAGTGCGTTCAACTCGTAATTACGATCTATACGAGATGACTTGAACGCAGCATAAGATAACCTTTGACCATTTCAAAATGGCGGAGAGCACCGCGAGAGTCGTGAATGGTAAAAAAAAAATACTATTTATGATCTAGAAAATATACAGCATATTATTTACCTTTTGAGTTTTGATAAGTCATTTTCTTGCTGTTGCAGATGACTTAAGCAATCTAAATAGTTTTAGCTAAATAACTGGTCTGGATCTCCAGCACTTGAACGCAACACACTGGTAAATACAAGTGGAAAATATCCTATTTTCAATAGCACGTGAACGCAGCATCAAACTCAATCTTTTTCATAGTATCTCATATGTTTATAGTCTGTGACTCAACGACTGAAGATGTTGGATGTACTGTTCAACCGCAGGAGGATTTACTGTACGATGTTCTTTGTGTTACTATAACATCATGGTGATGTGAAACATAATCTCAATCGATCGAAATTTGATGATCTGGGCTGGAGTACAGCTTATATTTTGCAGACTTGGGGGTCACTTTATATCGTGGCCTGAGTTGAACTGCCCTGCAGTCAATCCAGACTTTCCTGAAGTACCGCTGAACGTTGTTCACCGCCAGACGTTCACCGCCAGACGTTCACCGCCAGTTCACAGCCAGATGAGCTGAACAGGATATGTTCACAAGACTTACCAAATGAGTGACCTTACCACACTATTTGTGCTTCTGACATGAATAATGATCAAACTGACATTTTTTGCCTGTTGGACTATAAGACGGAATGTGGGATATTCATATTGAATGTTTTTATATTATTAATGGAGACATTCAATTCATTAAAGGAGTAATGGACTATAATAACAGCCTTTTTTTGTTTGTTATTAAGCTATAGTGTTTTTGTGCAATATACTAATGTCTTTAGGCTACTGTTTTTCATAAGAAATTTCATAGAAACATGTGGTAAACATGATCCAAATACTATGGAAGGCCACATTTTACCCTATATAAAAATATATATGAAAATTTTGGCCGATACCGATAACTCTTTATATTTGAAAATCTAAATCCAAATTGTATATAATTATTGAGAGCCTGATTACAAAAACAAGTCTCATCATTAAAAGCCAAGTCCCAAAAAAACTATCCTCATGAACTGGAAAACCAGAAATAAATTACACATTAACATTTGGAAAAATCTTATTACAGACTTCATTGCAATGGAACTCGCATCTCCCCTTCATAATTACACATCTGAAACTGACCTCTACCGTCCAACACTTTCTGACCTCTTACAGCTATGAATCCCTTCTCTGTTCTTAACTCAGACTATAACCAACCCACGAATATTTGTGTATTTGTGCATTTTAGTTGTTCGAACTTGTTTTTGTCATCATTGTTATTGCTATCTTTACTGTCACTGTTATGATTACTATTTTCACTTTTATTTAATTTTTTGTTGTTTCATTGTTGTAATTGCTGTTGTTGCTGTCTTTTGCTCTCACCGTTGTGATCACCACTGCCATCATCATTGTCATTCATTATTATTATTATTATTATTACTACTACTATTATTATTATTATTATTATCATCATCAATATTGCCATTGTCAATGCTGTAGAATTAGAATGTAGAACTAGAATTAAGCGTCATTGTCATCACTAATGCAATAACTTCCCCCTTATCTCTTCATGGGTTTTTAATGCACCACAACATAGAAAAGGGAAAAAAAAAAAAAAAAAAAAAAAAAAAAAAAAAAAAAAAAAGAATAAGTATATTTGGATAAACATCGCAAACACCAAGGCAGGCAAGACAGGCGAGAAGTAGTTTCAACGGGACAGCATCTCTGGCCCAATTTGAGACATTCTCGCACTGTACTCCCTCTTTTAATGCACTTTAGACATTGCACATAACACACACACACAAAAAAAAAAAAGAAAAATATAGAAAAGATAGGGACTGATGAGATGTGGGGGAAGGTTGTCTTATATTATATTATATTATATTATTATATTATATTATTATATTATCATATTTTGTACAGGATTGACAATGGCAATTGTTACATAGGAGGAAGGATGGAAATAAAAATCTACAAAAACAATATGGGCAGTATGGTGGTAGTGGGGAGTGATGGTAATGACAATGGTAATAAATAATAAATGGTTACTTTGTGTACACACGCACATACCCACGCTCATACACGCTCACTTACACACTTGGATCAAACACTTAAATCACTCTTGCCACTGCTGGAATTATGGATTTACAAGATTGCTCACTACTGCACTATGTTGGTTTGTTTGTATGTATGTCTGACTGTTAAATAATAAAAAAAAAAAAAAAAAGAAAAAAAAAAAAAAAAAAAAAAAAAAAAAAAGCCAAGTCCCAATTATAATGTTCTTATTAATGTTATGTAGCCTATACGACGGACTTAACTGTTGCACGCCACACCCATAACACCCAAGCAGCACAAAAAGTTGAGTTTAGGTTTTTCTGATAAACTACGGGTCTTTAGCAGAAAAACCACACACTCATTTTACATGACTTCTGCATTTCTTTTGGTTTGGCAAAGCACAACTTTCTTTCGAAAAACACTCAACCAGACTAGGTCGATCGCTTCTGCGGTAATATGAATTGGTTCATACAGCTTTGTGAAACATGAGCATTGTTTCCTCATTCAGCTCAGGTGCTACAACCATCACCAACATTAATAATTGAAGAGTTTCCACACCCAGAGATGAGCTTACACTCAACACTCTTTGTACAAATTTACCCCCACACCAATGACACATGGCAAAAAAACACACAACTTGCCTATACTCTAAAGGTCCTTCAATGGTTCTTGAGTTAAGCTACGGTTCTGTGCAGATTCTGGATCAGTATATCGGATCCGTGCATTCGGTCTTAAAGTGACAGCAGCCTAATAAACCTGCAGCTGTCTGTTTTAATTGTTGATCAAACCACAAAAGACAAAGAAAAAAATCTCTCACTGGTCTTGACGGAATTACTTTTGTAACTTTATTAAAGATTCATCTTTATTTAATTTATACAGTGAAGATTTATATTTGATTCCTAAAAACTACTGTCAGACCTACCTGAAAAACCTAAAAAGTGCTGTTTAGTTCATTTGTATCTTTGATCTGCAGACTGTTTGTTTACTTGTCTTTAATAATGTTAGGCTATAAGCTTGTTTCCGCCACATACAACATAGCCTGCTAAAAACGTCAGACGCTCCGCTGAAGACGCTTGAGAGCGTTTTCGCAGCGCAGCGTTTTTTATCCGTTGAGACGTTTCGTTGCTATGATACAGAATATACGCAGCACAGTTTACTTCGCAGATAATTTGTTTCATACTAAAAATTTATTTTTCACCCATTTTGTTCGGTTAGCTCTGTTGGTTGATGTCGTTGTACAGAAAGAATGTTGTGGCAGTTGGTCAGTGTGGTTTAGTCCCGCCCCTCCTCCACTGTGATTGGACGAGTGGGTAAAAAGTAACAGTGATGAGCGCTGAGTTTTATCCAAAGTTTAACATTTTTCAACTCTCGGCGACCAGCGTGAAAAACACGTTCAGCGCCTCGTTACGCTCATGGCGCTTAAAAAACGTGGCGCTCCTATTGAAAACATACGCCAGGCGCGTGGAAAAACGCTTTGGTTAAGAATTGAACTTCGACTATAGACAGTTAGAATAATCTGGCTATTAGGGATGGGCAACGATTAATCACATCCAAAATAAAAGTTTGTGTTTACATAATATATGTGTGTGTGGTGTGTATAATTAATTTGTATATATAAATACCCAAACATGCATGTATATATTTACGAAAAATGTGTTATTAATATATCAAATATTTATTTTTATATATAATATTTATTATGTATAAATATATATAAACGATGTACATGCAAATATTTCTTAAATATATACATTCATGTGTGTATATACATTCTTCACTATACACACATATATATGTAAACACAAACTTTTATTTTGGATGCGATTAATCGCAATTAATCGTTGCCCATCCCTACTGGCTATGCGCGTACTTGCTACAAATTTGAGTGCAAAGTCAGTCAGCAATATTTTAGCTTCGTCTTCCTAGAAGAGACTGTAAATTAAACATGTGCATCTGCTAAAAGTTTATGTTTCTGACTAGCCTAAAGCTAACAGACACAAAAATGTAGGTTCTTTTTTATTTGTAAGAGTAGAGGATAACCCCCCCCCCCCCCCTCTTGAATTTGCACAAGGGCTCCTTGACAAACATTTCAACAATTATGGAAATGACAGTACGAGTGTGTTGCAGTAGGCTACACCGAGCATGCACAAAATGTTTAAATGACCTCAGTGACTAATACATGGAGGCGTGTGTATTCTTCCTTTTTGTGTACGTGATCACTCACACTGACGAAAACTCATGCAACATTTCTTACAACACTGGCTTCCCAACTTTCCACTTGCAACATTAGCATATTACAACAGCTAACCTCAACACAAAAGTGAAAAATAAAAGGAAATACCTGCAGGTCTCACACTCATGTCCCAGCAGTTATGAGCAGTAAGTGATCTCCATCCAGACGGCCAGATCGTGTTTTTAAAAAGATAAAAAACGAACTGCCTCTACCGCCCAAGGGCAAGAAACGATCTGTGGTTTATCGAAGGTCAAGGCAAAACCTCGCGTCATTGGCAGATCTGTTCACCTTTTCCTGCCCATAATCACACACACACGTATACACGTAGCGTACTTCACGTCAGCATCCCTATAGCAGCGTCTGCTTTATCTCTGTGGAGCAGCACATGAGAGAATAAAGGAGAGTGATGTCACGGGATGAGGATACAAACCGTCCCTTCTTTTTAAAGCACTAATTAACTATTTCTGGGGATTAAGACGAGTTTGATTTATTTGTGTGCAAGTGAAACCAAGAGCACACAAACAAGAGCCATCAAGGAGTCATCAAGGTTTCTAGGCAACAAGACCTATGCATAGCACAAGACCTCAGCTCAAACGCGGCGTCGTTCAATTCTGTGGCTAACAATAAACATATTATATTCAGAAATTAAGTATGGTTATGGAGAACAGTTCTTGTGTTTCACAGAATGGGAACTGCAAAACACTGTAATTATCTGGTTCTTTGTGGCATCTACGGTTGATTATGTGGCTAGGCCTCAATTTAGGTTACTGTTAACCTGAAGAGTTTAGCTAAACAGAAGTAACAAGAAGTACTGATAAAGAGAAGTAACTGATCAAAAGAAATATGTATGCGTGTATATATATATTAGGGCTGTCAAATGATTAATCGCATCCAAAATAAAAGTTTGTGTTTACATAATATATGTGGGTGCACTGTGTATAATTATTTTATATATATATATATATATATAAATACACACACATGCATTAAGAAAAAAAAAGAATTATATTTATATACAGTATAATATAAATCATATATAAATCTATATACAGTATATACATGAAAATGTTTCCTAAATATATACAAGCATGTGTGTGTATTTATATGTATATAAAATAATTATACACAGCACACACACACACATATATTATGTAAACACAAACTTTTATTTTGGATGCGATTAATCGCAATTAATCGTTTGACAGCCCTACACACACACACACACACACACACACACACACACACACACACACACACATATATATATTAGGGCTGTGCAAATATTAATTGTGATTAATCGCATCCAAAATAAAAGTTTGTGTTTACATAATATGTGTGTGTGTGTTGTGTATAATTATTATATATATATATATATATATATATATATTAATACAAATACATTTGCATGCATGTATATATTTAAGAATTATTTGCAATGTGAACATAAATACTGTATATATAAAAATGCATAATCTATATTATATATAAATATAAATATTTTATATATGAATAACACATTTTTTAAAATATATAAATGCATGTGTGTATTTACATAATTATGTAATTGTGTATTTAATTATAAACAGCACACACAAATATATTATGTGAACACAAACTTTTAGTTTGGATGCGATTAATCGCAATTAATCTTTGCACAGCCCCAATATATATATATATATATATATATATAGAATTGTCTGTGACTATATTTTCATGACTGTAATGACTTTGGAAGTATGCCTCTGCCAGTGTGAGTTTGCTGTATGTGTTTTTAGATATGCAAGATTTGTTCATGTCCAACTGTACTAACCAATGCGAACGTCCTTCTTCCAAATTGCCATAACATCAGGCCATCTCCGACGGGTCCTAAGGGTTTCACTGGAAAACATGAAGCCAGTGTGAGTCAAACAGTTAATTTCCATTGAATCATTTTCCTTATAGAAACAATCAAATTTAAATCGGCTGGTTTGAAGATCATATTAATAGAGATTTTATACAAAGAGGCAGATCAACAATGACATCCCAAACAAAACACTCTCCTATAAAGCTATTGTAATTCATACAGGCCTGTTTACTTGGATTGGAAAGCATAGCAGTTGATTAGCTACACACACCAGAATGCAATTGTCTTTAGAAAACAGTAATGTCTGACGCACACAGCGCATCTTCCCCCACATCGTCCTAATGAGAACCCAGAGGAGCGGCAGCCAGGAAACCCGTCAGGTCTCTGGGAACACACACTCTCCACCGGGAACACTGCAGGGTTGCTGATGCTGGCATGCAGTAAACACAGGTGATCCCGAGAAGAGCTGCAGTGTCCGGCTGCCACATGCTGGCTTTACGGGACAAAACCATTTATAGACAAGGCTTCCATAGGTGGGACATTATACACTGAAGGTAGATGTGAAAGGTTGTAATCTTCCCTGTTTCGATGTGAAAATAAACGTAACATGGAATACCTCAGCACTGCACACTTCGGATGTCTCCCTAATTTAACACGACCTGATCCTGTATAAATCATCAGTTCATTAATAAAAGCTCCAAGACCTGAACTGAAATAAGAAAGACTTCCAAAATGTGCCATGTTTGGTATTTCAGGACCATCGTTTTCCATTGAAATCAAGCCTGAAAGTTTGTAAGCAGCAGAGGCGCCTGACATACTGACACAATGTGCCTGAAGAGCTCTACGGTCCAATACAAAAGTGACTGCAGACTCTCATAGATTGACAATCCTGTCCTAATACCCATCAATAAATCTGCAAGGGAATAGCAGTATAGAATATAGTATTATAAAATACTGTGGAATTTGCCAAAATTATATAGGCTAATGAATATGAATCCAAATATGGACACTTAACATTTGATAAGGAGAGAAAAACAAAACAAAAATAGTAATAATTTTACCTAAATTAACTGTTTAGGTAAAATTTTACCTATATATATATACGCTATATATAGCGTATAAGTCTATATATACGCAATAATAATATTCACATCGCAAACAATTACACTAGATATATTTTGAATACAATAAATAAGTAAATACAACATTTAATAAATACAATAAATAAATACAACATTTAATTTGATCAAAATGTATAATGAGTATATATATATGTGTGTGTGTGTGTGTGTGTGTAAGTTAAGCATCATCCACATATTACAGTTTATACAGGGTATATTTTAAATAAAATAAAAAATAAATTCGATATATAATTTATTTAATATAGCCTATCAAATATTTGATAAAATATTAAAATAATATAGTATTTATCTTATAATATATTTAATTATAATCAACTGTGAGAATACACAATCTATGACCATTATTCAATGCCCAAATCGACGAAATAGCCATGCAGACCCAAGGTAAAATCTGTAACCTCAGTTGTTGTACCTAACAGCTCAATTAATAGAAAGCCTACTCAATTGGTCAACCTTAAGTGGCACACAGATGTAAAATAAGACCGATAAATACAATGAATTGACATTTTATGAATAAAATCTAATACAGAATGCAATTACAAGCCAATATTATGTCATTGAAAGAAACGCGTGCCCGTCAGACAGTCATAAATGCGGTGTATACTCTCTCATGATCCATCCTTCACAACATATAATGTACAACATACAGCTCTTACCGAAAACAAGCTCCATCCATTCATTTATGGTTCTGCAAAGGAGACAGGGTTGAGAAAATCGTCCATACGAAATTAAGGAGAGAAAACACAAGACGAATCCTTTCCTTAAATCACCTCATGCACTCTCGCGCTTTCACGCGCGCGCGCACGCATATACAACCGTTTTGCGGAAGGTTACTGCTAGTTACTGCTACGACCGAAACGTAAACAAACCGTGAATGAATAAATACATTCGGTTTTCATTTAACTACAAACTTGTTTGTATTTTTTTAATGATAGCATACAAAACATGCTAATTTGCTGTAGTCTGAATATATGACTGTATATTACCATCGATATTTTTAACTGATATATCATATAATGTCAATACCAACCTACAAAAGGTGCCAAGGATTATTGGGAACGTCTTTTCAAAACTTTTTGGGTTATCTGTGATAATATAAGTGCATTTATAATTTAAAATACTTTAATTTATCTTACATTTTAATTAGCCTGTTTTTGGTGTGGTTATTTAATGTCATTGGTCTTCAGTATGATTGGTGCTGAAATTCAGTTTTGTTTGATACTACTAATAATTATAATAAGCAGCAGCTTTGATGGAAATGTAGCGACCTCTTCTGGACGATAAAGGTATCATGATATTAACTTTCGTTTGCTCGTGCGTGGAAAGTTCGTACAATAACGTTAGCCAGCCTATCGTAAAAACGGACATAGATCGAGCGCCATAAAATAAGAATTAGCTTGAATAAAGATTTATGACATGCACAGATTACATCATCGCGCAACGTTACAGACTGTCAAATAATACAGTCCATACTTCAAACTGAGCTGAACCAGGAAAACAAACCGCAGTGATACTGTATTATTGACACTTGCAAGAGCTGTCTCATTGTGGACCGATTCTTGGATTCGGTTCGGAAGAGCACACATAAAGCGTTCATTGGGTTTCAGGGAACGAGCCCAACTTTTATTTGGCAAGTAAATCAGTGCTTGATGTAGGCTACTAAATAACTGTGTACAAGCTGTTACAAAAAAAAAAAAAAAACTGTACACAGTAGGCTATGTGCTATCTGAGATGTATCCCTCTGATGGAGACAGTGTGTGTCAAATTATGTTGTGAAACAATGTTACCAAATAATCATTTTCTCACTTATTGTGATTCACAATGAGTTGCATTTTTAACAGTAGCTAATTTTAAACTTTTGTTCAACACTTCAAATATGATTGTGTGAGTGGAGATACAGTCCAGAAACACAAGTTGTGTCACAAATGATGCACTATAAGAACTTATAAAATGCACTGTGTATGTACCCAATCCTGTTGTATACATTTTAAAAGGTTCTTTTTTAATTTTTTTCTATTGCATTGTAGTCAAATAGCCCCTCGGCTACAAGGAAATCTGCGACATTTGAAGCCGGCATGGTTGCATCTGAAATTGCACACTCTCTTGTGTGGGTATTTATACTTATTCAAAAAAGTATGTTTGATATCGTAATTTTGTAATCTGAATATACTACATTAACCAGGTTGTCATTATCATGTGACCTAATAGTTGCATTCCTTCACCTCCATTCACAAACCCTCTCCCGTGCCTCATGGGACAGTAAAGTGTCCATGTAAACACACCAGAAGTAGTATCCATTCTAGGAACTTTTTGCCTACTCTTTTATGAGTGCTGGATATTCTAACATAAGCCAACTATTTTTTGTCATATAGGCTACTGTTTTTCGTCTACTTATAATAGGGAAGTATGTGATTTCGGACGCAGCCCATGAAGTGTCGAACATTCCACACTGTTTTTTGGTTAATTAAGTGCATCATCTATGTATTTTGTAACCGTTTTCTTTAAGGAGTTTTCATTGTGAACACACTGCTCACTGTTTAAACTACAAAAGCACAGTGGGATGTGGGACTTTTTGTCCTCGCACGAAACTCTGAGGTTTGTACTGACTCGTCGATCTTTAGCGACCCCTAGGGTTGGGGTCTCATCCAGTGTTATTTTGGTTTTCTGACAAGTATCCCGTAAAGATAAAAAAAAAAACACTGACTAGATGACTCAAACTGAATATAAACACTTGTGTAGAACTGCAGGATGCTGTTGAGGAGGTGCTCCCCGCGCTGAGAGAGCAGGGCGTCTCGGTCTATATACTGACTGACCATGTGACCTCCGAGGGAACGAAAAGTCTTACAGACAAGATCAAGCAGGCCTCAGATGAGCCTGTTCCTGCAGACCTGAGGGCAAACAAACACTAACTTCAACAGCCCATCGGCGTACATCTACACGTCAGGCACCACGGGTGAGACTGGATTCAACTTCTTATTATATATATCTTATATCTTATTCTGTTTTTGATAAATCTATAATTAATAAATGAGTGCATGGATTTAATGAGATGGTCCCCTGCATCAGGTCCTCCAAAGGCAGCGGTGATCACTCATCGGAGGCTGTGGGCCACTGCCTACCTCCCCTCGTATGCCAGACCACGTTTCATAAGGATCCAGGTAACATCAGAACACAAAGCATGCACAAATAAGCTCTCTCTAGGTATAATCGATATATTTATGTACCATTTCACATTTCCGAATGCACCGAAATCTAAATAAGTCTGTGTGTTTCTGATTGCAGAAGAGTTTGGCTGTAACCTGCACCTTCAAACAGCTCAAAGGGAAGTTGTCAGAGGAGGGCTTCAACCCTGCTGCAATCTCAGATCCTCTGTTTGTTTTAGATGAGAAGGTGAACAGCTACAGACCGCTGACTCATGACACATATCAGTCCATATTGGAGGGTCACTTCAGATTGTGAAGAGCAGGATTTGCTCTTTATAATATGTTCTACATTTAATAAGAGAAGTCAAATCTTTTATTTGTTCTGATTCCTAAATCTACATTTACACTTACAGGACTGCAACTGTCCAGAGATCACACTTAACACACACAAAAAATGTTTCAATTAAATTGTTTTTTTTTTTATGTACCAAAGGCAATTTAAAATATATATATATATATATTTTGCTTATTTTATATATTTCAAAACTCTTGAAGTTTTCACATATACTTTCATTTGATATCACCCTATCATTCAGAAGTTTTCACTGACAAAAAGGTAATAAAAGTTTAAAAACTACTTCATTGGCAGTCTGAAAAGAGTCTTTCTAAGAATTCGATACTTTCCTCTGTAGTCTGTTGTGAACAAATAGTTTTGTAAGAGTTTGCTGTAAGATGATTGGTTCCCACAGAAACCCTCCCACTGCCTCCTGTCTCAAAGGCTGAATTGGATGAGGGTTGCCATGTTGTGAGTTTAAAATACTCCCGCATGTAATATCATTTTGTTAATTAGAAGGAAAAAATACAATTAATTTTAAAAATGTCTCAATACCAGGTTTTTTTCCCCAACATTCTTCTATTTTAAATGCAATTATTATTTTTTCATACAACGTTTGATTTATTTGTTTTTTTATGTTTAATATGAATAATTGGAGAATATTTGAACACAATAATATAATATGTAATAATAATAATAATAATAATCATAATACATTTTTTACATGAAACTCAAGGACACCTTACAGACACAATAAAACAAATCAACAATAATCAAATACTCATTATTATAACCTTGGAAACAAGTAAAAAAATAAATAAATAATAATAATCACATAAAAGCCTGCCGAAAAAGATGGGTCTTAAGGAGAGATTTAAAAACATGAATACTTTCACTGTTTCGCATATCCTGTGGCAGCAGGTTCCCATAAATAAGGAGCTGCAAAACTAAAAGCCCGGGACCCCATAGAAGTAGTGCGGGTTCTAGTGGGAACAAGAGTGAGTGAGGAAGACGATCTTAAAGTACGAGATGGAGTATTGAGATCAAGAAGGTCCAATAAATATGAAGGGCAAGGTTATTTAAAAGTAAGAAGAAGAATTTTGAAATGAATACGATATATTACCGGGAGCCAGTGCAAGTTTTTTAGTATGGGAGTAATGTGTTCAGCAAGGGGAGTTCTGATGATTCGAGTAGCCGAGTTTTGTACTAACTGAATAAGTTAATAAGTTTCTTTAATGACCTACTTAATATGTAATTCTTTATTAGTACTGCATGAAAACATGATTTTTTTTTCTTTCTTTTTTTCAACAAAACATTTCACTACATGTTCTGGGGAGACAAATAAGCAAGTGTTCTTCTCAGAGGACCTCAAAATGTCTTTTTCAAAATATAAATTATTTCATACAATTTTAAATACATAAATAAATGAAATAATATAATGTGACGTTATGTTTGTTACTCTGTAGCAGGGCCGTAACCACCATAGGCATTGAGTCCCCCTTTTAATCCTTTAATTATTTAATTTCTTTAAATAAAAAGAACTAAAAAAAAATTCAATGTTCAAGGCATGGTCTTGCACTGGGGAAAAATCTGTTTACTCAAGTAAATTGTTATCATATCTTAAATGTTTATTTTCAAAGAAATTTTTTTTTTAATTAAAAATAGATTCTGGCTAAAGAAATTTGTATATTCACATTGTACACAAAAATGCTTTCTCTCACTCATAACTTGGTGAAAATGACCATATATGTCTGCAACAACTATTTCTGCACCAGGAAAACGTACTTGGCGTCAAGAACTAAAATGCTTAAGTAGCCTATATTTTATATTTCAAATATAATTTGTTAAATTAACTACAAAAAAGTTTAATTGCAATTAGGCATATTTTATTGTAAGACTTTTGAATTTGTGCGCGTAAACAACCTCACGGAGTTGGAGGATCTGGCAACCCGACGAGTCGCTTGAGTCGGGGGTGGATCAGAATAATGTAATCTCTCTCTGGAGCCCCAAAAGGGCTGAACTTGCGTTTAGAGAATGTGGACCATGAATTTTAAGACTGTGGAAGTAGTGTCAGGCTATGGCATGTAGTTAATCTCAAACCCTTAGTATTATACACACTCTAGTAAACATGTATATGTGGATAACTCTTCTCGCGGGCTTGGCTCTTCTCCCCGCGCTACTTAAAACCTTCTTCCCGTATTTCTTCCAGGACTGCGTGTATATATATAGAGCGCTTAGATTCGGAATGCGATTAAATGTATACAAAAAGAAAACTCCATTCTATAGTATTGTGGACTGTTTTTTGGAAGCAGTGAAGAGACACCCGCGGAAAGCGTTTATTCATTTCGAGGAGAAGACTTACACTTATGAGGAGGTGGATAAGCAGAGTAACAAAGTGGCGGATGCTTTGCGCTCGGTGGCCGCGCTTAAAGAAGGGGACACGGTCGCGCTCTTCCTGGGGAACGAGCCTCGGTTCGTGTGGACCTGGCTCGGCCTGGCCAAGCTGGGCTGTCCCGCTGCACTCCTGAACTTCAATATCAGGTCCAAATCACTCCTTCACTGCTTCTCCTGCTGCGGCGCGACCGTGCTCATAGCAGCTGCTGGTGAGACATTATATGTATAGCTAAACAGTAAGAGCGCCTATACATGGATGTAGACTAGTCCATATACAGATCATATATGGGTGGCTAGCTACTATGCTGCGAGGCCTTGGCACTGATTCCCAAGCATTCTCGTAATGTGTGGATACACTTTTGAAAAGTATTGCTCTCTTAAATATTATGACTAAAAAATAAATATATAGCCTATTACGTACGCATGCAATGAGGTAACATGTGAATAATCACAACTAAGGGCTCAGCGACTATATTAGGGTTTCAACTTTCAATTATTATTATTTATTCTTTTACAATGTTACTACACATTTACTACAAATATTACGGGTGCATTTTTTTGTTAGAAGGTATTTTATCTAGTTAATTGGTTAATCGGCATTCTTTCTGACACAACAGCGCATTGGTATGGTAAGCACCACTGCGCAGGGATCATACGATGGTGAGCTGTGTTGCACGGAGCTATAGGCTAGCTGAGCAAACTCTTAAATTTCAGATTAGGTTTAGAGTTGACAAATTCAGATGCATGCAGCCTGGTTTAGACCAGGTTCAGCGGTCTCGCAAAGCTCTGTATAAAAGGTCTCAAGGGTTTGATTCAGTTTGTGATTGAATCGATTAACTCAACTTGAAGCGCGTGCATCTGAAAGTGACAGTGCTGCAAACAGCCAATCACGCGGGACGTGGAGAGCGTCGACTTGATTCACTTCTCTTCTGAACATTAGAAATCATTTTTTAAATTATCTTGAAGTTAAGAGCGTTTACGAGGTAGAAAGAAACACTGCTGCAGTGTAAGTTTGAGAAAGCAGCTGAAATAAAATATCGAATATCAATGCATGATGTGAAGCATATGCATGTATTATATTTATATTAATTAAAAAGCCAAGTTTAATAGTCTATTAGCCTACTTGTATAGGCAAGTTATTGAATACAAGCTCGTTTCCGCCACCGAACATTTTGAAAAATTTAATTCCGACTTTTTATCTCTTGGCGGTAAAGTTGCGAGTTCACATCTCGTAATTCTGACTTTATTTCTCAGAATTGCAAGATAAAAAGTCAGAATTGCGTGCTATAAAGTCGCAATTGTGTGTAATAAAGTCAGAATAGTGAGATATCGTGTTATAAAGTCAGAAGTTTATCTCGCAAAAGTCGCAATTGCGACTTTATAACACGCAATTCTTAGCCGTCATTTTTTAAAATGGCTGCGGTGGGAAGAAAACCGGAAGTGTCGCCTTTAATCACAGGAGAGTAGCGAATGCGATGGCGTGTTTTGTTGTGTTTAATGCAGAAATTTGTTATTCTAAACATTCACATACATTTCTTTCATAGTTTAGACTATATACAGTGAAATTGATAAATTTATGAATATTTTTAACTATATATATATATATATATATCCTATGTTGGATATTAACATCTAATAGTTTAAATCACAGCAGCAGCTTAAGGTTGGTAGTCCAAGACATTGTTGTCTATCTGTACTTAAGGGATTCTTCCCACTGGAGCCTCGCTTTCGATTTCAAAATGGGACCAAAGTAACAAAGGCTACCGTAGCCCCTTTTCCACCAAAGCATTTTGAGAGCCGGTTCGGAGCCGGTGCCTGCGCGCGAACCCGTTCTTTGTGTTTCGACAGCCAAAGAACCGGTTCCCGGCCAGGAGAACTGGTTCCAAAGTGGCACCAACTCTTTGCTGGACTAGAACCGTTATTTTACCACGTCATGCTTACGTCGGGGTCTCTGGCGGGTTTAGATGTGTTCTAAACATCTTGACCATCGAAACACGATTGAGTCAGCCTTTGTAATTTTTATGCTTGAAGTTAATGCAAGCGTTTCTATTTTTGTAATTTTTTTTATTGAAGACATTATAAGCAAAGAAGAAAAGTCACAGTATAGAACAAATAAATGGAAAGAAAAAAAAGACACAATTACAGTGTAAAAAAATACATATCAAACGAAAAGATTAAAAGACTTACATATTTCAATTGTTTTTAAAGCTTTCTTGGAATACGAGTTAGAGATAATCCGAAAGTAATGTTGTATTTGCAAGCGTTTCTATCTAAGACGTATGGCGACGTTCACAGTGACGTAAAGACGTCGTTCCCTGGGCGCTTTAGTCAGTGGAAAAACAAATAGGTTCTGAAGCGGTTCGCAAGTTGAACCAACTCCGAACCAACTTTGAACCAGCACCAGTTCCGAACCAGTTCTTTTTTTGGTGGAAAAGTGGTACACGAGTATCACACTACACCGAGAGGGACTCTAATCCTGCAGTGTCAGGCGTGTCCCCCTGCTTAAGCGAATACATGCCCAGGCCCGTCTGAATTTTGCCAGAGAGCATATGGATGACCCAGAAGAGGATTGGGAGAATATCATGTGGTCAGATATAGAACTAAAAATAGTTTTACAAATACAAATCAATTCTTTAAAAATCCTACAACGTGATTTCCTGGATTTTTTGTCTTTCTCATTTTGCCTCTCATAGTCGAAGTGTACCTATGATGAAAATTACAGACCTCTCTTATCATTCTAAGTAGGAGAACTTGCACAATCAGTGGCTGACTAAATACTCTTTGGTCCCACTGTATATCTTTTTAAAACATTTCAAGCCTCTGAATTCATGCGAGTGAGTTGAAGAGTTTTGCAGTTAAGTGTTTGTTTCCCTTGCAGAGCTTCGTGATGCTGTTGAGGAGATCCTGCCAGCACTGAAAGAAAAGGGGATAACTGTATACCTCCTGTCAGATGAGAGCACTACAGACGGCATTCAGTGTATTGGTCAGGCCATCGCTAAGGCTTCAGATAAGCCTCTGTCCCCGTCCCTCAGGTCCAATGTCCATATCAGGAGTATAGCACTGTACATCTACACTTCTGGCACTACAGGTATCAGTCAAGGCCAAAGGTTGTGGGTTATGTAATATGTAGTGTTATATTCCGTTCAATATACCAAATCAGGCTGATACTGCTAATAAAACATGCTGTATATGACTCTGTGCTGTAAAAATATGCGTCCCTAAATAACACTGGTTTTCTGGTCCATCGAGGTCTTCCCAAGGCAGCCTTTGTGACCCATGAGAGGGTCTGGGCTTCATCATTCATCCAGGGTGTTTGTGGAGTGACGTCTGAAGACATATTCTACATCAATCTACCTCTGTATCACAGCGCCGGATTCCTCATCGGACTCATCGGATGCATTGAAAGAGGTGTAATGGATTATGTGATTTGCCACTGTATTGATTTAGAAATGCGCGGCTCACAAATGAACGTTTTTTCCAGGTAACACTGTTGTTTTGCGGAGAAAGTTTTCTGCCTCTCAGTTCTGGGACGACTGCAGGAAGTACAACATAACTGTGATGCAGTACATTGGTGAAACACTGCGCTACCTCTGCAATACACCAAAGGTAAAAACACACCTGTGTGAAGATATTTCTCTTTCAAATATGTTTTATGGGGCTTTAACTTTTGTTAGCTCTGTTCCAAAACCTCTGTTACAAAGGCTTGTCCAAAAGGTAGCAAAATTACGCTGCCTTATGAATTACGCTGCCAAACTTCGTGTCCAAAAAGTTAAATTTTCTGCAGTAATACCGTTGCCATGTTTCACTGTTTTTATTTGGAACGGGACCCACAAAAGTAGATGCACTCACAAAAAAAAAGAGTCCCTCCCCAAGGGTTGGAAATAAACGGGGGCTTGGAGCAAATCTACCATCAAAATTACTAACAATGATTCCAAAAACCAAGATATGGTGCAAAAAAAAAAAAGTATACAGTAATATACAGAAAAAAAAATATATACAGTCTATATATTTATAAGCAGTCTCACACAGGCAAAAGTGCTGTTTTCCTAAATATCAGCACATTTGCAAATGTGATATTGATTTAATATATTTAATATTGATTCAATAAACTAAGTCTTTTTGGTGTGTTCGTGCCGTCCGCTGAAAATAGTCCTCGTCAGCTTTGTTTCGCCCGATTCGACACGAGAATAAAAGCAAAACAGCAAGCAAAGAAGTCAAAACGGTAACGATAGAAGGCTGTTCTTATATTATGTCATCTTACCTGATTGTTCCTTGGCGAATATTTCAATATTAAAGCTACACTGTGTGATTTTTACCCCCATCTAGAGGTGAAAAGATATATGACCATCCAGTGAATATTATTTTCTGTTCCTCTCAATTCCGATTTCGTTTGAACTCCTACGGTGGCCAATGTAGTCCAAGATTAACATGGCTTCCAGTTCGACCTCGTCCATGCGTGCTAACTCAAACGTAAACGCTAAAGGTGAAGCTTGAATTAACGGGTATGTCCCTCTTTGGCTAATGTACTTTCAAGATGGAGGGGCAACATGGCGACCGACATTAGAACCCCTTACCCGAATATATTTTCAATGGCATATTATACACTCACGAGAATACTTTATTACTTGAACGAAGTAAATCTACATTAATGAGCACATATATATTATTTATTTATTTATTTTTTTCAACATTGTATTTATTGATTTTAGAAATTTTACATTAAAACAAGCACAGAAAGAAAAAAATAAAAATACAAAAATACAAAATTAAATAAATAAAATAAAAAAAAATAATAATAAAAACAACAACGACAACAACTATACTATACAAATGTCAAGACAATGGTACATTAATAACATAATTTGTTATTCCCGGTTACACCGAAAATAAACTATTTGGTTCAGCTTCCTTTAAAAATTCTATAAAGGGGTTCCATACTTTGAAAAACTTTCCAGATTTTCCTTTAACAATATATGTGAGTTTCTCCAAAGCCAAACAACCTGACAATTCCTGCAACCATTGTTTAAAATTAGGGATTTCTGTGTTTTTCCAATGACGGGCAACTAAAAGTTTTGCTTGTAATAAACAGAAGGTTAACATTTTCTTACCAGAGTTAGTTAGAGTGCAAGTTACAGGGAACATACTAAATATACAAAGTTTAGGACATTTGGGGACATTCTGTTTCACCACCAGTGACAAAAAGTCCACAACCTTTTCCCAATAAAGTTGAACTTGAGGGCACTTCCATAGACAATGGAATAAAGTTCCTATCTCTGAGTTGCATTTTATACATTGATTGGGGATGTTGGGATTAAATTTATGAAGCAATTCTGGAGTTATGTATACTTTCATTACCCACTTGTACTGCAGAAGTTTAAACCTGGTATTGATTGTTAGCACATATATTTTTGAAAGAACTAAGTGTTTTTAGCTAAGAATAAACTAAAAGAGTTACACAGTGTAGCTTTAACATGAGCGGAGTGGAATAAAGGAAGTGTTTAGCAGGATTGACATTCAAAACGGTAAGCACGCGCTGCTTTGTTTACGGTATGTGCATCTGCAGCCGGCAGTGTCGGTTTTCCTTTTTGAATGACGAATATAGCAACATGACATCATGACTTTTGCGTAAACATACACGCCACTTTCGAGTCAAGTGGCGTGTTATCTCTACGCATTTTGAGCTATCCGCGCGTATGTATACGCCATTAACGTCCGAATGATTCCGCGTGTCAAAATGTCCGCGCGAAACGAAGAAAAATGTAGATCTACATCTGGGGAGCGATCTTTTTTTTTCCTAGGATGGTAAGGGAACAGTCATAAATAGGGTTGGGTATCGTTTGAATTTGAACGATTCTGATTCCGATTCCTTGTTTCGATTCCGGTTCCTAACGATTCTCGATTCAGATTCTTTTAAGAGGCAGGGTCAAAAAAGTTTAGCTAACCTTGCTAACCAACGGCCTTTCTGAAGGAAATAATCCTTTCTGAAGGAAATACTTCTTCTGTAAAAATACTCCTTTTGTCACAAATTTTGCATTTTGCCGAGATTTCGTTATTTTTAGAAAAGTGAAGCCACACTTTGGATCGCCGACGTAAGGTACTCATGTTCGTGGTTATGCCAACACTTCCGGTAGACGCTTCTTCGTTGGTGTTGTTCAGCGGTTTCTTCTTCCGCTCGCCGGACTGTGAATATCGAAACTAGGAATCGAAATTTTAACTTTTGAACGATTCCGGGAAAAACGAAAAGTTAGTCCCGATTCCAATCGATACTCGATTCTCGATACCCAACCCTAGTCATAAATGCCATTAACCCCAGTGACGGTTAGGTTTAGGGACGGGGTTGAGGTAGTAAGTCATATATTTATATATACAGTAATAACGTTAAGTCAACGGCGTTCATAAACACGCTGAAAAGCGATTATGCGTCTTGATAGCACGCCAAAAATGGAAATACGAATTGGCGTGTCATACACACGCTACTTCATGAGATCAGTCTGAATATAGACTAATATATGTGCAGAAATAGACAGTTGGCATCATTACACGCAGGCGCAGAACGCACATTATAGCTGACAGTGCGCTGTAGTTCTCTCGGTGTGCCGCTTTTTACCCCGATCAGCTTTCATCAGCGCTAGTTCGTCGGCGTCGGGTTGGTGTGTTCCGGACTTAACGGCTGCAGTCCCGCCTCCTCGAGACCCCGGTTCGAATACCGCTTGGTTCCACAAAGGGAACTCATTTGGTATTGTGTTGGAAACTTTGAGGCAAGCAAACTGGTCTGTTCTGTGTTTTCCGCTTTGCAGAAAGACAATGACCGAGAGCACAAGGTGAGGATCGCCATTGGTAATGGCGTACGAGCAGACGTCTGGAAAGATTTCCTGAACCGCTTCGGACGCATTAATGTCCGAGAGCTCTACGCCGCCACGGAGGGAAACGTCGGCTTCATCAATTACACCGATAAAGTCGGAGTGGTCGGCCGTATCAATATTATCACCAAGGTAAGCGTGACGACACATATTTCTTAGCTTCGAGAAAGGCATGTTTGTGCAACGTCAGCTTGATTGCCATTGTATTCCACAGTCGTTTTTCCCCTTTGCCCTCATCAAGTTCGACATTGAGAAAGAAGAACCCGTGAGGAACTCTGAGGGTCTGTGTATCCCAGTCGGAAGAGGTAGGTCAGCTGCTAGCGTTGAGATTTTTGCGGTACAATTCATTTTATTGCCATTTGGCATCAGTAAAGATAGTACAATTGTTTGTTTTGAGGTTTTCAGACCACTTCCACTGACCTTTGTTAGGAACATTGTCATAAAAAAGTTAATGTTTAACATGTTACATGTGCTTCTATAACTCTACGGTTGTTGATACGAAATGTTTCATAGATGAGGTGGGCCTTCTGGTCGGGAAGATCACGAAACGGACCCCTTTCATCGGCTACGCTGGGAACAAGCAGCAGACCGAGAAGAAGAGACTTAGTAATGTGTTTGTGAAAGGAGATCTGTATTTCAACAGTGGAGATCTGCTGAGAATCGACAACGAGAAATTTGTGTACTTTCAGGATCGAGTTGGAGACACGTTCAGGTAGCGGAGCTTCATCTGTGAAGTGCATTTGCACACTTGGAGTTTGAAGCATTGCATCATCATTTGTTATTGCAGGTGGAAAGGCGAGAATGTGGCTACAACTGAGGTGGCGGATATTCTCATGATGGTGGACTGCATTGAGGAGGCCAATGTGTATGGAGTCAAAGTCGAAGGTACATGTTATAATGTGCATACAACAATGATTCGAATGGAAAAGAGATGATGCTTATGAACCACGTGTTAGTTAGAGCTGTTGCTTGATTTATTAAACCACGTCATTACCATGTTTGCGGGTCTTAAAGCGTAGTTGTAGTTTTTCATCATTTACTCACCCTCATGTCCTCCCAGATGTTTATGACTTTCTTTCTTCACACAAACACAAAGATTTTTAGGAAAATAATCAATCTCTGTGAGTTCATTTAATCCCAATAAATGGCTGCCGCTCGGTTGACGCCAGCACACACTCAAGAAATGAAATTCGTTCAGCCCAAGCAAAGGCTGGAAATAGACTTTATAGTTGGTGCAGCTGTTATATATAACAAACCTAACGCTTCATTGGTCCTGGTTAACTAAAACGGTCTTCTTTCTTTCCTTCCTTTTGTTTTTAATTCTCCTTTTTAAAATTTCTCTTGAATCTGTTTTGCCTCCATTGCTTAAACAAGTGCAAATTAGTGCCGGACATAAAATTAAGTTTTAAACACGTTGATATTTCCATCATGTCGGATAACATTCTCATCTGAATCATTTCTGTTAAGCAAGTTATTAGAGTTAATACACCCAAAAATGATGAGAAAATTCTCTCATCATTTACTCAATCTAACCTGTAAGACATTCGCTCATCTTCTGAACACAAATGAAGAACTTTTTAATGAAATCTGAGAGATTTCTGTCCCTCCATTGACAGTCTACGCAACTACCACTGCCACGCTTCAATAAAGAGATCGTAAAACTAATCCACAATCGCATTATATGATCAACAGACTGAATTTAGTTTTTTATTCACATATAAACATTCATCAGCGAACGTAAACAGAAGCTCAGCCGGACCAGCTTAACACGCGAGATCAAACCTCTCGCGGAAGTTTAAATGTGAATAAAAGTCTTCAATCTGTTCATCATAAAGCGATTGTTTCTCTTCTGAAACTCTGGACTAAACCGCTTAATTCATATGGATTATTTTTATGATCTCTTTATGACCTTTTTGAAGCATTAAAGTGGTAGTTGCGTAGACTGTCAATGGAGGGACCGAAATCTAAAACAAAAATCTTTATTTGTGTTTTGAAGATGAACGCAAGTCTTACGAGTTTGTCAGTTTTAAATGCTGACACTTTTTCCCTTCTGTGTTTATATATATATATATGACCATTAGGATGATTTCCTTGATTGGTTTCCCCTGGAGAGATATACTTTGCTTTTGAAAACGGAAGTAAAAGAGTCTTTATTAAAATAAACGCATGATTTCTCTCTCCCCCACCCGCTACTTGACCTGCGGATTATCTGCATTGTCCGCGGATATAACTGGCAACCATTTAATCCCATTACATGGACTCAAAGAGATGGATTATTTTCTTAAAGATATTCATTTGTTTATCGGTATCAAGTCATATATATCGGGGATGACATGAGGGTGAGTCAAAGAAGAAAATTCTCATTTGGGATATCCCTTTAAATTAGATGTGGAAATGTAAAAAGATAATAATACATTCAAAAGAACCAAATTTTGCTGTTATAAGTTGTCCATAATAATATATTAAATATTAAATTTGAAAAAATGTATTTAACCCTAAAACCATATTCTGGACAAATGTGGGCAAAATAGTTTTGATTTATTTTTAAAAAATACTTCCCTTGAGCTGAGCTGTACAAGACTTGGCTACCTTTCCTAAGTTTGCCTCCTGAACACACACATTTTTTTTTGACTCAATTCTACAATGTTAAGTGGGTGAAAAAAAACCTCCTTAATCTTGTATTTGGGTCAAAAATGTGCACCCATAGAAATGAATGGGAAAAACTGTAATTTAGAGCATACTAAAATAAGCCAAAATAAGACACCAGGTGACAGCAAAGTCACTTCATCTTTAGGTTTTAGCTCTAAGAACTTATTGGAATGATATTTTAATGTAGTTAAAAAAAACATAAAAATAAGCATAATTTACATAGAAAATATGGTACTTTTTGAAATAAATAAATTCAAAAATCACCCAAAAATTAAATAAAAACTCCATTAATGGATAGACAAAACTTTATCGAAGACAGTGATATAACATTTATAATAAATAAAATTTAGGATCACACCTGAGTCCTCTGTGCCCACATTTGTCCACAATTACAGGATTAAGGGCTAAAGTAAATACAAATTGAGGGCTACAAAATAATCAATAAGCTGTTGTTTTTTTGTTTTGTTTGTTGTTTCTTGAATATAAAGCATTATGGCTGTAAGCTACAGCACGACTTTTGCCCAGATTTGCGGTCTTTTAGTTGCCAGTATTCGCATAGATGATTGGAACATACTCCAATTTTTTAGCTTTAGATTGTGATTTGAAACATGTTTGATAGCAATGTGTCTGGTAACAATTTGGGACGTTCAGAACAAACTAACGCGATTTCAAAGTCGGCAAGTGTTTGATGAGTCATTACATTCCTAACAATTTTCATCGTAATCAAAATCTAACAACATGCTTCTATTTCAATATTAAAATCTACGTTGTCTTCAGGCCACGAAGGAAGGATTGGAATGGCCGCTGTGAAACTGAAAGAGGGCAGAGAGTTGGACTGCGTCACCGTCTGCAGCGTCTTGGCGAACTATCTTCCAGTGTACGCCAGACCTCGATTCATCCGAATTCAGGTACGCCATCTTAACTACAAACAATCTTGCCCGTAGCCGCCGTCCTGTCCAGTCTCGGCTTCGCTCTGTGAAACTCAGCAAAGGCAAATTTGTCTTTCAGAAGTCCTTGGAAGTCACAGGAACTTTCAAGATGAAAAAAGTGAAGCTGGTGGAGGAAGGCTTTGACCCAACATTAATACAAGATCCTCTCTACTTCCTGGATCTAACGCAAAAGAAATACATTCCACTCTCTCAGGAAATTCATAGCTCGATCATGTCGCATGACATTAAACTCTAATAACCATAATATAAGCTAACGGTACCATGCTGAGATCTACTAACCAGTAGTTGCCTACTAACCTCAGGGAAAACAAGTGATTCCGGTGAATGATTGTAATCTTTACAGACCAGTACAGTCAACTGTTTTACATTAGTTAACTTGCTTTAATCCACAAATGTGCCTTATCACTTAACCTTGTTAATAATGTACATTTTCATTTTCTCTCATGTTGTAATTCCAGTTAATTAGAATCTAATAAGATTGTGTTACACTAAATATGCACAACTTCAACTCTCAAGTCAGCGATTCTCAACTGGGTCATGGACGGTAGAGAAAAATACCATGCAAAAAATAGTAATAAAATTAAACTAGTGGTACAAATGTATTACTTTAAAGTTGATTTCGAATGATCAGCTTTACTGAGAGCTACGAGGTTGTCAATCGATGGTATTCGCTTTTGTTTGAAGACGTCAGCCCGCATTATTTTAATGTAGTTTTAAAATAACTGCAGGATTTGTGGTGAGAAACTACATTACCCATGATGCTACACAGAGAACTCCACCAATCAGAGTCGAAAACAAGCAAACTGGTTGAGAATGATTTTTATATTTCTCCACCACTTTTAGGCTATGTTTACATGGAAATGATTCTGAGGAGAAAACGCAAAAGTGGCGTTGCGTTATCACTTTTTATTCGGCGTTTAGACGAGCGTTTTGGGAGGGAAATCCTCGCATATGAAAATGTAATGTAGTATGCACTCCAGGCGGCTAGGAGTGCATACTACAACAACACCAAGTCCGCGCGCCTGCGTACAACATTCACCGTCAAGCAGACCTTTGCGTTTTTATCCTTTAAACGGGCGTTTTTAAGGGGGTGGTTTCACTTTTTTGCGTTTTTAAGCCCCAAAAACGCCGTCGCTGTGTAAACGAAAGGCACATCCGATAAAATATTTTTACATTTACACCCGCGAATGTTCTCGTGTAAACGGGGCCTTAATTTGATTATGCTGTTCTCAATGCTTCATGGGATTAGTTCTTTTCATATTTTTTTCCGATTCTCAAATACTTTGTCTTCCTGTTTTTAGCTGACGTCAAAGAATGTGTCCAATCAAACTCTAATAGTGTGAAATTTGTACCAAAATACGTTTAATTTGATTTGAACTATTTTGTTATATGAATATTTTAATGTGCTTATATATATATATATATTTAGAGAGAGAGCACCCTCTATCTTATTACAGTGAATCTTCCAGCAATGGCAGGGAAAGAGTTAATGACATTATTCGTACACTTTAGTACAATAATTGTGGTTCTGAGTTTCCACTTGTTGTCCAATGTAAAAAACATCAGTTGAGAGTCGCTGCTTTAGGGTTGAAAATTCATTCTTCTGACCCAACGGCTTTTAAGAAAGCGGACCGCTGGCGGCCGGTCAAGAGTTGGCCTCAGTAATCGGCTGCAATCTCTGTTTTAAGTAGGTGAAAAGCCAAGCACACTAAACTCATGACCTCTGAGCTCCAAAATAAACATTTCTAAACACCACAAACCCAAATGAACCAGCTTCCTTCTTTACCCAATACAGGGGTCAGTGACATCTTTCACAATCCGCAAGATTATGCAATACCAGGTTAGATCATCAGTCACAATTTTTTTTTACTTTAAAAATGAGTTTATTTATTAATACAGTTGTATACTTAGAAATGTGCTGCAAAGAAAACAAGAGAAAGTAACAAAATAAAAAGAATGTCGCCACACAAAGAGAAGAAACTGAACCCGGGATGAAGCTGCGTCGTCATATCAAAACAAAGTCGTACTGATGTGCCTTAATAAACTGTCTATTAGTAGAAAAATACATTTCAGGGCACATAATACAGCATCCAGTATCACAAATAAAGTCAAGAGTCCGCCAAAGCAGACCCTTCTTAAATACAGAGCCGTCAAATTATTTCTAGTTTGTAAATAATAAAAATGTTTCTGTAACTGTTAAAAATGCCATTACGTAGTGTTTGTATATATGTTGTCGGTATAAAAGATAACGTCCTTTTTCGTTGCATTTATTATTTCTTTTTTTTTATTATTATTATTCTCCGTACTGCTAAGTTAAATTCCAAGGCTCAGAAGTATAACCGGAATACAAACATAACCAATGTTATAGCTTTCCTTTTTTTTTGTTAAGAAACTTTTTTTTTCCATGTTACGTTTTTATACAAAATAACAAAGATGTACAAAAGGTCATTTACAGCGAACCAAGGCCATATGCTAGCACAATATTTACAGCTGTAATTGAAACATATCCTAGTGTTCTGGTATATTCTTTGACTTCGTATGCATAGCAGTGAAAATACAGACCTGTTGATCAGACTTCATTATTTGTGTGCTAAATATCCCACTTCACATCCTCCGTAACTTCCTTCTGTAACAGAAATCCGATGTTTGCTAGTCTTTCGGGTCAAAGTAACAAAACAAAACGAAAAATGCAGATAAGGCATCACTGCTTGCAGTGTATGATGGGTAGGTTTGTGTACTCAACTTAGTAGCAGGCGTTTGGACCTGAGTCATAGCACATGCATAGATCTCTAGACAGCAGGAGTTCCGGAAAACCACAGTCAGTGTTTATCTACGGTAAAACTTCGCTAGAAAAGATCGCTTCAAAACGTAGAGAGAGAGAAAGAGGCCGTTTTTTGTTGTTGTTTTTTTTGTTTTTTTTTAAGCCAGAGAAGGGAAGTCCATGAGCAGATGAGTGCAACAGTCACATTCCTTCACTTCAAAAAGTCTCAATTGTTCATCATTTTCTAGAAACCGACATGCTTTCCAGTTCCGCGACAATCCGGTTACAGCGTTCCACGGAAAAAAACGCATGACCTCGCAAACAAAAAAGCTCTACATACATCAACTTTTCTGTTTGGGAGCACATTAGCAGGGTTCACTTGTATCAAGTAAAACTAATTCGTTTTTTCCGTCTATTTTTTTTTTTTCTGGTTCCGTTCAAGACTTTTCTAATTTGGAGAAAAAGAGGCTACAAATGTCAAAAGGGATTTTTTCCGACTGTCTGTGGCACAGGTCATGCATTCCTTTTAGGTTTCTTCATTAATTTATGTGTTCAGTTATTTTTTGCAAGTCTTCAAGCACCAAAAGGTAAAGAAAAAGGCAAAACTAAACTTAAAAAAGGGAAGAAAAAACCAAAGGATATAAGGAAAAAAGAGCGCTCCGTAGCATCTGCGCCATCTTCCAAGACATTTCTTTTGGGGGGAATGACGCTTCAGCCCATCAAAGCAAAGTGGAAAGAATTAATACTTGATAAAGTGGTGCGAATCCCGTCCATGCGCTCTCGTTCAGTAACAGACCAGCTGTTGCTCTCTTCAGAAGTGGTCGATCAGCACGGACACGCAGTTGGCGCCCACCAGGTAATTGGGGTCTCCTGGTAAACACTTGTTTTGCCAGCATTTGGGGTCACCTGTGGGTATATTCACAAGAGAAACGTCATGAGGAAGACTGTAGACACAACCTGACATTTATTCACACGGTTTCCTGTTAACACTAGGACTGCACGGAATAATCGAATTTAACGTTTTCTGATAAAAATTGCAATCTAAAAAAGGTTTGTGTTGCTTGTTTGAAGGGCTACACAACTATAATACAAAATACAGTTTACACTTTACAATAAGCTTTCATTTGTTAACTATATTAGGAGCCGTTTACAAAAAAAAAAAAGAAATGTTTTCAACTAAAAACGTAAAACTACTTCTATGGTTTGGCAACAGCGTTTTGGTTTCAAATGTTTGAAAATGGGGTTTTAAAGTGTGCGTTTTTGAAAACAAACCACCAAAACGCGAATCTCTGAACACGTAATACACATGCGCATGATGTCATCGTCTTCAGTGTATAGAAAACAACGTTTTCATCTCCATGTACACTAAAAAACTTGAATTTATGAAACCATTGACATCAAGCGCATGTGTATTATGTGTTCAGTCTACAGTAGAGGGTGACACGGGAGTGGATTTTTAAACCTCGTTGTCGTCTAAGCGGAAAACGCAAAGGAAAAACTTTACAGTGTTAGGTACATAAACGTAGCCTTAAAGGAGTAGTTCACTTAAAAAAAAAATACTTTTGCTGATAATTTACTCACCCCCATGTCATCCAAGATGTCCACGTCTTTCTTTCTTCAGTCGAAAAGAAATTAAGGTTTTTGATGAAAACATTCCAGGATTTTATCCATATAATGGACTTCATTGGGAACCAAACAGTTCAAGGATCGTTTCACTTGATAAGATCCTTATTTATTGTCTAGTGTCGTTTAAAGCCCTTCGAAGCTGCACTGAAACTCTCATTTGGACCTCGAACCGTTTGGTTACCAGTAAAGTCCATTATATGGAGAAAATCCTGGAATGTTTTCATCAAAAACCTTCATTTCTTTTCGACTGAAGAAAGAAAGACGTAGACATCTTGGATGACATGGGGGTAAATTAAATTATCAGCAAAAGTTTTTTTCTAAAAGCGAACTACTCTTTTAATTAATGCATCAATTATTCTTAATTGATAGGATCTTATTGAAAAGGGTTATTATTTTAATAATTTGACCTGGTCATGTGTAAAGGAACGCATGGCCACACTTAACTCTGAAAAACGCAGAGCATGTATTTAATAAAGTAGATTCATGTTTTATTTCGACTAACCGTGCAGCCCTATTTCACACTGCTGCTAAATTCAGTTGTCAGTCCTTTTTGGGTGCTTAAACCTGTACAAACGATTTCGATTATTAACAGGAGTGACAACCGAATTTGCTCCCACGAAGACATTAATCAAAAACAGTGAACCGGTTAATGTGGTAGTATCCACGTATCCCTTTTATTGCCACAAAAAGCCTTATTATCCCCATGTCAACCTTCGCAAGATCAGGAATGACTCCTGTATTCATACAAACAGAAAAATTATTTAATTATTAAGGCTGAATCCTCTAAATGAATGTGGTTATTCCCAAAACGTGGCAACACTGAACCTAATTCCTCTGTTTACACTGCAGCTAAATTCGGTTGTCACTCCCCTTTTGAGCACTTAATCCAGTTCTGTACACACTTGAATTCAGTTATCTATGAGTGTAACAATCAAATTCTCTCAAAATACCCAATTTAAAACAGGTTAATTTGTTGCCATCCACATTTCTTGTTTGCAGCCACAAGAAACACACAATGGCGAGATTAGGAGTGACTCACAATCATTTCTGCAAATGAAATAAATATGGTTGTCATTTCCAAATATTTGCCAAAACCGGGCCAGAATGACTCCATTTAGACATGCCATGTTCACACATGTACACACGCAGTTTGGTTATTTATGGGTCATACTCATTTCCATATTTCTCGTCTATATCCATGTTAACCATCACAAGAACAGAAGCTATTCTTTTATTCCTCCACACAGATTACTCTTTCCTAAAAGATGTGCGTCCGTTCCAGTCACATTAAACCATATTTCACGGATTAATTGTGAATGAATCAGAGCTGAAGAGACTGGTAATAAACGATACAAAGCAAGCGCACAGATTGTGACGTGAAAGCGTCTTGTGATCAGGATGGCTGTGTGAAATGTTAATTCAGAGAGCCCAGAAGATGAAACAAAAGCAAAAGAGGAATAAGCCTCTTCAAGACGGCTTCAATCCCGATCCCAAAAGACCCATCAAAGGACAGAGAGAAAGGACAGCGTACCCGACGAGGAGTCGGAGGATTTTAGAGCAAAAGACCAACCATCAGGGGTCATAGACGCACAGTGTGGTAGACGCAGTTCCACGGGCTTCAGGAACTTCAGACCGTGAGGGCCGCACATCACCAGGGGACTGAGTAGAGTTTCACCTGGAAAAGTAGACAAACGGGTGCCACTCATTCAAAAGTTTAGGCTTGAGCACAAAACACAAAGGCAGCCTTTCTTTGATACAGTAAAATATTGTGAAATATTATTACAAATTAAAATTTGACTGTTTTCTATTTTAATATATGTTAAATTTTCAGCATCAATACTCCAGTTTTCAGTGTCACGTGCAGAGATGTATAAAGTACTAGAAACCCGGACGTGAAGTGCTCTATCAAAAAAGTGACTTGAGTAGAAGTTGAAGTGCTCTTTAAGCACCACACTTAAAGGGATACTCCACTTTTTTTTAAATAGGCTAATTTGACAACTCCCCCAGAGTTAAACAGTTGAGTTTTACCGTTTTCGAATCCATTCAGCCAATTTTCTGATATTAAGAAGAATATCAGTAACCAGACAGTTTCTGGTCTCATTGACTTCTATAGTAGGAAAAAAAAATACTATGGAAGTCAATGAGACCAAAAACTGTATGGTTACTGATATTCTTCTTAATATCAGAAAATTGGCTGAATGGATTCGAAAACGGTAAAACTCAACTGTTTAATTCTGGGGGAGTTGTCAAATTAGCCTATTTCCAAAAAAAGTGGAGTATCCCTTTAAGTAGAAGCACTAAAGTATTCAAAAAAATTTTGTACTTAAGTATTGCAAGTAGTTTATTTTAAAATTCACTACTTAAAGGGTTAGTTCACCCAAAAATAAAAATTAAGTCATTAATTACTCACCCCCATGCTGTACCAACCCTGTAAGACCTTCGTTCGTCTTCGGAACACAAATGAAGATATTTTTGATTAAATTTGAGAGCTGTATAACTACCACATTGGCTGCCTAAGGGACTGCCTCTTGACGGCCCAGAAAGTCAATGAAGAAAATGTTTAAATATCCCAAGTGACTACCATGGCTCAACTATATGTTTATCAAGCGACGCGAATACTTTTTGTGCGAAAAAACAAACAAAAATAACGAGTTTATTCGACTATTTCTTTTCTTCCTTGTAGGCCAGAACGAGACTTCCTTAGATTTCCACGACGCATGCGCGAGAATTGCGATCTGCTTACACCAGCTTACACCACTTCAGATCGCAATTCTCGCGCATGCGTCGTGGAAATCTAAGGAAGTCTCGTTCTGGCCTACAAGGAAGAAAAGAAATAGTCGAATAAACTCGTTATTTTTGTTTGTTTTTTCGCACAAAAAGTATTCGCGTCGCTTGATAAACTTATATTTGAGCCACGGTAGTCACTTGGGATATTTAAACATTTTCTTCATTGACTTTCTGGGCCGTCAAGAGGCAGTCCCTTAGGAGCCAATGTGGTAGTTATACAGCTCTCAAATTTAATTAAAAATATCTTCATTTGTGTTCCGAAGATGAACGAAGGTCTTACAGGGTTGGTACAGCATGGGGGTGAGTAATTAATGACTTAATTTTCATTTTTGGGTGAACTAACCCTTTAAGTACTAAAAGTAAAAGAACAAGTACTGTGTCATGTAATTATTAAAGAAAGCGGTCAATAAAACGGGCTTTGGCGGGATACAAATTTTCCAAAAAAAAATGTCATAGCAGGACAACCCCTGCATTAGTTGTCGATGTGTGTGTCAATCAATACCATTACCCTATAGAACTGGCGAGCGATTTAGGCTGCATGAAAGCCAACTTGCAACGAATGATTCGTAAATTTTTTATAATTGTAACGAGTAACTAGCAGAACATTAAAAAAATACCGAAGTAAAAGTATTAAATTCATCGAAAATATCTACTGAAGTAAAAGTAGAAGTATGAGAAAAAAACAATACTCTAGTAGAGTACAGATATAGCATTTTAGTACTTAAGTACAGTACTACTTCGTTACTATACATCTCTGGTCACGTGACCCTTCAGAAATCATCCTAATATGATGCTCAATAAATGTTTATTTTTATCAATGTTCAAAACAATTGTGCTGCTTCGAATTTGTGTGGAAACCACAATACATTTTTATTTCCAGAATTATTTAATTTAGAAAGCTCTTAAATCTAGAAGAAAAGTATTAATTGCCAAACGTTTGTTTGCTACAATTTTATACTTCATGTTTAGTCACATTGGAGTTTGTGTAAAAAGGTTAGTTTGCATACATAACTCCAGTATGCAAAGCTTTTTTCTCCACTAAGTAACGATAAAAAAAAATAAAAAAAAATCAGTGTTTGTGCAACGAAACTATGGCAAATGTTGTTACCAGACAATGCTTAAGGTTTTTTTTATTCATATGTTTTTTTTTCCCCAAATGTGTAAAGTACAAAGCTAACAAAACCTACATTACTCGAGAGGAAACACAATGATGATGTACTCAGCAGAATGAATCAGACCTTTCTCTTTGTCCAGAGGGGGCAGAATGCTGTTGTCCCTGCACACTTTGAAGTAGATCTCCTGCTCCACACTATCTGGGATGGCTCCTTGTGGGATAATGATGCTGACTCCTGTCTCTATGGAGCTCAACACCCCGCCGTTACAGTTAAAGATGCCCCGTGCCGTGGCCACCACGGTGTGACCTTCATCTTCTTCGTCGTCATCGAGCGCGCTAGGGCTAGAAAACAGAGGACAGTGAGTGGTTTGTTCAACGGAGGTCATAAACGCTGACGTGCCGGACTGCTTTCATCATCTCACCTGACGGGGATGGCCTTGGGAATGGCGTTGATGTTGTTGTGCTGATACTTGGGCCTGTTGTCCATGGTGCGCGTGAACGTGTCGACCCCGCTGTCGGTGTCCTGCGGCTGGGGTGAGATTTGAGGTTTCAGGTTGTTGTTGACGCTAGGCTTGGACTGCGTGTCGTTGGGAAGCAGGTTGTGGTTGAATTTGGGGCTCTCGAACTTGCGCTCGAAGGGTCGGGCCGTGCTGGTGTAAGGCTTGGGGACGTAGCGGTTGTAGCTGGTGGGGACGCCTAGCGTCTTGGGAGGGGCGTCCGTGCCGTTGATGGAAGACTTGGGGGGCAGGTAGTTGGTCTGGATGGGATCGTCCCGGGCGGGAGCTCTGAGAGCCGACAGGTCCGGTTTGGCTTTGGGGGAGCTGTGAGGATCTGGCAGCGAGTTCACTGGAGTTCAGAGAGAGGGATGATACACGCTTTTAAAACAATGCATTCTGGTTTTTGCTGTGGTGTCAAAAATCACACAATTACTTTGGTATTGATTTCTAACATTTTGGCAACATAACAACTTTGATAATACGGCCCTACATACCGTAAGAGGGTGATACTTTTTTTAATCTTTATTAATGGACTTCATCTTTTTATTTTTGTTATATGAAAATAAATATAACAAATTTTTTCTATTTTAAAATGTTTAGATTTTATCATTTGATTTTGATCTACAATTCTAAAATTAAATGATGAAAATCCATTACAATATATGAAATAAATCATTATTTTTGGTGTAAAAATGACTCTTATTAAATAATAATAGTTTTTTTGGGTTTCCCCAAACAGACAGAAGTAGGGCTGTCAAATGATTAATCGCGATTAATCGCATCCAAAATAAAAGTTTGTGTTTACATAATACATCTGGGTGCACTGTGTATAATTATTTTATATATATAAATACACACACATGCTTATATATATTTAAGAAATATTTTCATGTATATACTGCATATATATATATATATATATATATATATATATATATATATATCAATATTTTATATATAAATCATTTTTTTTCATGCATGTGTGTATATATATAAATAAAATAATTATACACAGTGCACCCACATATATTATGTAAACACAAACTTTTATTTTGGATGCGATTAATCGAGATTAATCGTTTGACAGCCCTAGACAGAAGCATTATTTTCAGTCACTCTGTCATTTTGTAAAATTATGCTATAATTGCAAAACTATTATCTGTTTCTATTAGGTGTATTTTACATAAAATGCTAGCTACGACTTCCAAAAATATTTATATAAATTTTTTTTTTTAAATGTGTACAGACAGAAGCATTTTATAGTACATTATTTTCAGTCATTCTCTAATTTAGTAAAATTATGCATTAAGTATGAAAATATTTAGGATGCTACATTTCAAATTAATCGTAGTAAGAAAAATGAGTCGGACATTTTATTAAAACGTTTGAAATCACAGAATGCGATTAACCACTATACATCATTTCAGATGTGATGGAAAAGACACTGAGAATATTGATGACTGTAGGGTATAAAAGACTAATTAAACTAAACTAGTGAGAGTGAATATTCTCGAGTGGTTCTCACCCTCGATGTTGCTGAGTTTGGGCAGGGCTGTGGGCGGAGCTGCAGGTGTGGGCTGGCTGTAGGGAGCAGGCGACGGGTTGGCGGGCGGCACGGGCTCGTACCTCTTGTCCACGGGACTCACTTTCTCCACAGACTCCGCCCTGAAGCAGAAAGCGTGTATGACATACACTAGACCACTCCCATTCAAGAGTAAGAACTGTGTTTGTAGCACTATACGGTACCTGGCGAAAGGATATGCTATCTGAGGCTGAGGTGTTTTGGGCGGCTCGTGGAAGCGATTGACCCCAGTGTTGGGCTGACTCATGGGCTTGTTGTCAAAGCTGCGGCGGTCAAAGTACGACAGTTGCTTCCTATAGTACTCTTCATCTTCATCTGGGTCATAGTGGCTGGAGCGGACCACGTCGTTCCCTACACGCGTCTGGGGTTTCTGGGGCTCTGGAGCTCTAGGGGAAGAAGAAAATAATCAAAAGGAAAGCACATAACTTCATATTATGTAACATCTAATGGTGGATCAACCAGCAGAGGGCAGTATATGATGACATTTGCATACTTCACTACAATACAAGTGTATTTTTTTCAAATATATATTTATATTATATATTTTTCATATATTTTTTTCATTTTCAATCCAAGTTTATGTAAGAATGTGGTAACTTTTCCTGGTCAATTCAGAAAGCTTTTATTTAAATAAGGTCTTAGTTGATGTTTGTAGGCAAACATATACATAAAAAATTATAATATTTCACTTTTTACTGTATTTTTGATCAAATATATTCAGCCTTGGTGAGCATAAGAGACTTCTTTCAAAAACATTCAAATGTTCCCAAAGCCAAGCTTTAGACTGGTAGTGTAATGTGTCTGTACCTGTAAGAGGGCTTCTCCTGCTCTAGGTTGCTGAGAGAGTTGGCTTTGAGCACAGGACCAGGGGTGCTCACAGGTTTTGGGAGATCTGTGGGCTGAAGAAGAAAATACATCTGATCTATCAACACAATGTCATTCACAAACTACATTCTTAAAGCTCCCCAATTATGCTATTTTAAAGGTCACTAGCTTTCTTTTAGAGGCCTCCTTCAATAGGTTTACATGCGTTTCTCATAAAATACATTGCAGCATCAGCTCTTTTCTCAGTGTCTGAAATGGTGCGATAAAGGATTCAGTCTCTAAAACCCTCCTTTCTGAGAGCCTACTCTGCTGTGATTGGTCAGATGGCCCAGTCTGTTGTGATTGGTCTACTCTGCTCTGATTGGTCAGATGGCCAGTCTGTTGTGATTGGTCTAATCTGCTCTGATTGGTCAGATGACCAGTCTGTTGTGATTGGTCTACTCTGCTCTGATTGGTCAGATGGCCCAGTCTGTTGTGATTGGTCTACTCTGCTCAGATTGGTCAGATGGAACAGTCCGTTGTGATTGGTCTACTCTACTCTGATTGGTCAGATGGCCAGTCTGTTGTGATTGGTCTAATCTGCTCTGATTGGTCAGATGGCCCAGTTTGTTGTGATTGGTCTACTCTGCTCAGATTGGTCAGATGGAACTGTGCGTTGTGATTGGTCTACTCTACTCTGATTGGTCAGATGGCCAGTCTGTTGTGATTGGTCTAATCTGCTCTGATTGGTCAGATGGCCAGTCTGTTGTGATTGGTCTAATCTGCTCTGATTGGTCAGATGGCCAGTCTGTTGTGATTGGTCTAATCTGCTCTGATTGGTCAGATGGCCAGTCTGTTGTGATTGGTCTAATCTGCTCTGATTGGTCAGATGGCCCAGTTTGTTGTGATTGGTCTACTCTGCTCAGATTGGTCAGATGGAACTGTGCGTTGTGATTGGTCTAATCTGCTCTGATTGGTCAGATGGCCAGTCTGTTGTGATTGGTCTACTCTACTCTGATTGGTCAGATGGCCAGTCTGTTGTGATTGGTCTAATCTGCTCTGATTGGTCAGATGGCCAGTCTGTTGTGATTGGTCTACTCTGCTCTGATTGGTCAGATGGCCCAGTCTGTTGTGATTGGTCTACTCTGCTCAGATTGGTCAGATGGAACAGTCCGTTGTGATTGGTCTACTCTACTCTGATTGGTCAGATGGCCAGTCTGTTGTGATTGGTCTAATCTGCTCTGATTGGTCAGATGGCCCAGTCTGTTGTGATTGGTCTACTCTGCTCTGATTGGTCAGATGGCTCAGTCTGTTATGATTGGTCTACTCTGCTCTGATTGGTCAAATAATAGAGTCATCACCACAATTTTATGGTTTTATTAAGGTTTTATAATACAATATTAAGGTTTTATGTGGCTGCTAAGGTGTTGTGCATGTGGCAAATAAACAAGTGCTGAATGGAAATTTCTAGGTTCAAAATCAAGAGGACAGAAACGTACCCGAATTCCAGCTACATCCGCCGTTTCCTTGGCTCGGTCTACAGACACGGAGCGCTTGTTCTCGAACATTTTGACCCTGTTGAGCACAGACTGGGGCTTCATGGCAGGGTCGTCATCGTCGTCATCCCTGTCCCTGGGTGGAGGCGGCAATGCTTTGGAAGCTGCCGGGTGAGGCGGTTCCCCTGGAGACAAGACGGCCTCGGGTTTGGGAGGCGGAGCGGGAGGTTCCGAGTTCATCGCAGGCTCGTGCTGGGGCGCTTTATACGCTCGATTCGGAAGGCCAGGGTTGTACGAGGGTCTCATTGCAGAGTCACCATAATACTGTTTCGGTGGATCAGGGGAGCGGTGCGCATTGCCAGGGAAACCATGAGGCTCGGGCTCGAAAGGTGAGCGGGCCTCGTAGGAGGCGGGAGGGGGCGGAGGCTCTTCGTAGCGCACCGGCGCAGGTTTCGAGTGCCGTGGCCGGTTATCGTAGCTCATTTGGGGCATGCCATCATACTGGGACTGAGGGGGGCTGAAATCCCGGGTGGGGCCGTCCTCGTACGGAGAGCGGGGTTCGTACCCCAGAGGTGCAGGCGGCGGCTGGTGGCCCTGAGGGTAGCAGGGCGCAGGTGGCGGCTGGGGTGAAGTCTGCTGGTCGTAAGGGGGCCACTGCTCATTGTAGTGAGGCACGCGGTTGTCGTAGTGCAGGTGCGGGTCGTAATTGTGAGGCTTTGGTTGTGCGTAGCCGCCACCGTCATAGCCATAAGGCGGGTGGTCGTACTGGCGGTATGGCTGTTGGTCCTGGTAGACGGGCTGGTGGCTGTAGGATAGCGAGGTGGGGGGGCCTAAAGGCTGCTGCTGGGGAGGGGGAGGCTTCACACCGTGGTTCACTCGCACCGGCTCATCTATGCTGTACAGATCCTTTTTGTACATCTGTGAGGGATTAAATGTCAACCGTCAGAAACTGCTTGCTAGAAATGGATATGAGAATTTAGTGCAAACAGAACCTCAGTCATTAGGAGGAAATTCAGTCTAAGATTAGAATATTTTTAAGGGTGAAAAACAAGCAAAGGTTTTAAAATGAACTCCAATTAACTATAAAAATACTAGATTGGCATTTCCTTCTGGAAATACAAGTGCTTGCAAGGTAGTAAAACAGATTTAGGTAAGCGCAAGAAATCAACACACGGCAAAGCCATTTTTGGAGTGTAAAAGCGGCTATAAATACTTTATTTCTCAACAGAAAAAATAAATGGGGGGGTATGGTTAGACTAGAAATATTAAGATTTTTAAATTAAATATGTGAGTATTAAGTTAATTCATTTTATATAAATACTATATGAATGCTTCATAAGTATAAACAGTGGTGCCTTGCAAGCACTCAAATTCACATCACTCCTGATCAGAAAAAAAACCAAGACAAAAAAAACAAACAAAAAACAATCAGATTATTTCCTTATGCAATAAAACAAGCATCTTATCAGTTTATTACCCAGCTCTACGTTTCTACAGTTTGAAAAGAAGCCCTTCAAACCTCTACTTGGTAACACTACTTTACTAAAATCTACAATATGTCCAAGTGGAGCCATAAAGATGCCTTATGTGTTGAAAGGCTCCTTCTCAAGTGTCAAAGTATAGCCTGAAGACAGTAGAGCTGTAAAAGGTCCAAGTCATTTTAACAGTGAAAATCACAAAAGCTCTTACATAACGTCTTCATCTATGAAAAGAAACACTGGTTATGAAGACATTATGCAGAATTAGTCCAGTTGTTTTCCTTTTACATTGCTGTAAGTACTGTCTGCAGGTTAAATGAACATGCAACTACAGAATTCCATTCTTGCAAATCAGGGAAAGGTCCGTTTGCAATTTCGTGACACGTCTACAAGTGCATCTACGGCCGTCCGTACAAGTGTGATTCAGGTCAAAGCCAAACGCTACAGTTACGGCTATCACTACAGATTAGGGCCAGGCGATATAGCTCCATACAAATAAACTAACTTGTTTCCAGTCGTTTGACTCCATTAAATATTGCAACATTTAGGTGTTTGCTCTGAAACAGAGGAAGCACGTTTGAATTAAACCACAAAGTGCCTTCAAAGTGATTAATGTGCAAACTAAAATGCAGTGTAAAAAAAAACAAAAAAAATCTTTTTCTGAAAAATTGATTGATTTTTTTTTACTAAATAAACAAAATGAAGATATATAAAGCATTAAATATGCATTTTAATATATGATAAAATATTACTCAAAACTTTAGGTGCGTTCACGCCATGTCAGAATTACCGTATTTACAAGCTTCTGACCATTACAAGCTTTCAATCCTCGTAGAACTTCTTACAACTTGTAAACTCGAAATTTTCTGTGAGATTCCCGAACGCTGCAGAATACAGTAATTTACGGTAATGGCGTGAACGCAGATTATTAGCGATAACACAAAAGAATCAACGAAACACGGATATGAATAGGCTTTATGCACAACTTACTTCCGCATTCTCTGTAAAACAGGTCGCATCGCTTCCGGTCCAGGTCTTTTGTATGTGCTTCGTGAAATTTTTTGCGGTTTTACTCAAGATAACTTAAAATGAGCGAACAAAGATTAGCATAACCAATATCCCTCACATGTGCAGATTGATATTTAAACGTTTTATATTTTTTATTCTTCACAGTAACGTTTAGATATTTAAATGTAATAAAACGCCAATAACAAAGTGAACTAGGTAGGTTAGCTGATTACCTTAAATATCCATAGATATCCTAGTCAGTTCTTACGGCCGTTAACACTTTCTCTGACAAGCGGATGCGATGAGACCCGTTTTCCGGTTTGGTCACGTGACGCACGGCATAAAGCCTATTGACTCCTATTAGAGGACAGTTTGTACTGATAAAGGAAATAATTCAAATTAAAAAAAAGACTAAAACTTCATTACTTAACTAAAACCTAAATATCTTGAAACTTTAAGGGTGTTTTTCTAGTTACACATAATTCAAAGACGGTATAAAAACACTCATGGGTCGGAAACTAGTGTAAAAGTGTGGTCACATTTATCATTGTTTTGCGCATTTTTGCTGGTGAAATCCAGACGATTTCATACACTAGACATCAATACACTATTGACAAACTATTTTGCTAATGTGAACACGCCTTCAAAAAACGATCTTCAGGAAACGTATAAAAAGCAAATTAGAAATTAATCGGCACACATTCACAAAGTCGCTTTGTTTTAAATTGCCTTCACAAACATAACATGAATATTCAATATATCGCCCAGCCCTACTACAGACGGAACAAGCTGCAAGAAACATCATAAATTAGGAGCCATGCAAGAGGAAGTGCGAGGCACCGTGGGAGGACTTATGCAACGGGCCCTCGTCCTCCTGTGGTGCATGTGTACCAGTTACACAGTCTCTGGCGTAGTGTCAGAGGAACACACGCAGCACACGCGTGGGGTGGGCGGAGCATTCATGCAGACGGTGGAGTGGGAGGAGTCAAAGAAAAGAGTGATAGACACAGGCAAGGTTGAAAAAGAGAGAGCTGGGCTGAACCGGGCCGAAACGGGCCGGGAGCGGGTCCAGCTTCCGGTTGTGCTGGTACCTTTGGATCTGGGCCAGGAGGAAGCAACTGGTGGGGGTCGTGTGTTGGGGGCTGAGCGAGCTCAGGTTCGGGCTGGGGGTCGGGAACGGGGACGGGGCTGTTAAGGGAGTCGGCCTGAGGGGTGCCAGGCGGCTCCTCTGGGTTCGTACCCGCTAGTGGTGTGGAGGGTTCGACAGCAGGGGGCGCTGCTGCCACTGCAGAGGGAGGGGGCGGAGAGGCCTGAGCCTCGGCTTGCTGTGGAGTACGGGGCAAAGAGGTTACAGACACACGCCGCCAACAGCACCAGCTACGACCATCAAACTAGCTCACATGAAGTGTGTATCACAATGAAAAAGTCTCTTTAGCTTTACAGGAAGCAGAAATATAGGTAGTGGTCCAGTCCTGCTGGTTATGCAGTTTAACATATTATTTGGCAGAAAATGAAGGTTTACATTTCAGATAATGTCCCAAAGGAAGGTAATTGGGTTTTGGGCTTTTCTCCTATGCAGTGCATTTTCACATTCTGATCAAGTTTTTATATTGAACTCATAGTCATATATAATTGCCAATCAATTTAAAAACCCTTCACTGTCCTCAATCTCAGTTCTCTCTGTAGATCCTAATGACTAACAAAGCCCTAAAGACTAACTTTACTTTATTCTTTCAACAGTTCCTTAATAATATTATCCTCCAGAAGTGACATCAGCAAAAAAAAAAATCAGAAAGCATAACAAATGATTTTATGTAATTCTGGGATGTTTTGTGTTATTAATTGGTTTGTCTGACTTACAATCATAGAAATTAGTTATAATTCAAAATTTCAACCAAAAAAAACCTGATATTTAGCTTACATAAGCTAAATAAATACAAATTTAGCAAGCCAACAGGCTAGCTATTTAGCAAACTAGCACCCCTATTGAAGGTAAACCAATAATGATTTAAATAAAATAAAACAACTAAGCCGACACCCTTATGCAAGCTAACTTTCGGCTCGACTCTCGCTCCGTTTTCCATTGCAGTCTTTCGTTCCTCATTGCCCCATCAAGCTCTCGCTGGATCCTCTCTTCGGCAACCAAACAAAGGAAAGTCTGCACCCGCTCGTTTGACCACGGCATATTTTTCCAAGTTGCCATAATAATAATAGTAGCAAGTTTAGTAACTGCCTCTGGCCACACTATTTAAAAATGGCGGGTTAATTCGAGCCGAGCTGGTACTGTGTAGTGGAAAAGCACCATTTTTTCACTAAGCTGAATTTAGATCCTGAAAGTTTCCATCCTGTTCATTTTCTTGTCAGTGTGTGACAATTAATTTTTTTTCCATTAATTCCTGAGTATCTTTTCTAGTAATACTTCATTAAATTACAACACAAGTGTATTCCTTTTATAAAAGTGAGTTCAAAAAGCACTGCATAGCAGAAATGACCAATATTATGCTAAAACTTAGAGAAGTCCCTCTTAAAATGAACTAAGTAACAAACACACACACATAATGATACATCTATTCCGTACCTGCTGAGGCGCCGCCATTTTAAACCCAGCCGGGTCAATGCGGTTGACCGGCTCTGGTTGCGGCACAGCATGCTGGTAGCTCGGGTACCCGGCTGCGTCCTGGATGACCGGCGGGTCCTCTCGGACAGGTTCGGATGAGCGTGTGATGGCTGGCTCGCTGGGCAGGCCCACCTCATCGTTCATAGTCTCATCCAGCTCCTGGTCGGTGTAGGCGCCGCCCTCCGTATCGGTGTCTTCGTAGTCGGAAGTGTGGCGGCTGTCAGTGCTGTACATGCTGTACTCGCTGCCCGGTGCCGAGAGGTAGGAGAGGCGGTCGTCGTGAATATCAAGGTCATCGTCAGGAGCACCATCTGCCTGCAGGCCGAGAGGGGGAGGGAGGGATGGTTAGGATGAGTTTGATGACCCGCAGCAGTGGAAATTAAATGATGGGATGGGTGAGAGTGGAAACCAATGCAAATCAAACGCCTTGGACTAAACTGTGCAAAAGCAGGACTAATCCAAGCTCCGGAGCTTTTTTTTCTTTCACTATATTCAATTATTATACAGCTACTTACCAAATAAATAAATAAATGAACAGACATGAAATATTGTTTTATTATTTTAGGGTTCCACAATATATTTGTACCATCAGATATTGGCCGATTTTAGACTTTTTTTTTCTTTTTTCATATCAGATACATATCGGCTGATATTTATATTAATATGCATTAAATTCGACATTGCTATCCAATCAAAAATGTATTCAGATGTTGGTGGTTTTAGTGCTGTCAAAATAAAAGTCCCCATTCTGACCTTTATCAGCTAAACAGAAAAACGTAAAGGCTGATAATTAAATGGAAACCGGCCTTGTTAATGTATAGGTTGACCAATATTTACAATTACACTTATATAAGTATTATTTTTTATTTTATGATTAGAAGTTCTGCTTTTAACACTTATTGTAACCAAACAGAAAACTTAAAAGGCTAATGCTGATCGTTAAAAAAAAAAAAAAAAAAAAAAAATATTGGTTATATTGATATTGACCAATTTGGTTTACCAATATTTAAAATTTAGTTATATAATTATTATTTATTCAATTACACAGTGTAACTATAGAAAAATATTTTACCACAGAATGACCACAACTGACCATTCAGAGCAGACAAAGCAGCAACATGTCTGGATATTGGGACACAGAACTGTAAAGAAACTTACCTTGCCCTCTGAGACCCAAACCAACTGGTTCTGTTGCTGCTGGATGGTCTCTTTCAAAGCGCCGTACCACCCGTCGTTCATGTTGTTCAAGTTGATGGTGGCTAAAAGGAAGCAGAGTCACAATTAATTCAGTAAACGAACCACAGGATTGTGCTAATAACCAACAACAACTAGTGCCAAACCATTAAAAATTAAAAGTGGTGACCTGCTATGACTTAAATTTCAGTCTGTTCCACACACAAAGCTACTTTAGACTGTCTATGGACCTTTTTGGATCCTATTTCAAGCTTGCACAATTCCCAGTCCCTTTAGTCCGTGGAACACAAAAGGAGAAATTTTCCATTTAACGACCATATCATTGTATGGATAATTTCTCCTGTTCCACGGACTAAAGAAAGTCGTAATTTTGCAATGACATGACGTTATTTTGGTCTACTCACTGGTGAAGAGATGATGGTTGTTCTTTCTCAGTTTGAGAGCGCGCTCGTACAGCTTCCTGGCGCTCTTCCTGGACTCGGAACAGAGCCTGGTCCTCATGTTCTTGACACCCTGCTTGCTGTCTGGATTCAGGAACACCACGATGGGGTACCACTGAGCGTAGTTCAGACGATCCACCGCGTTAGGTGTGATGTCCAGCACAGCATGCTTGTCCTAGCAGTACAAACATCATCATGAAGCACCAGCTGTCTTTGCTCGCGAGCTGAGCAGAAGGAAAGCGGGATGGCAGTTAACTAAATTATTCCATACTTACTCGGTCAATGATCTGTTTAATGGTATGGAGACGGATGATTCCAGAGCTGCGCTGGTCTGTCCCCGCGTCTCTGGGTTCACTCTCTGAGAGGAGAAGATGAAGACGGGTTTATACAGATTCACCTTCTAAATATTAAAGAAAAAATGACATAAAATCGAAGTTCACAAAACTCACTCGCAAGTTCAAAGAGGTCAGCCTCCTCTCTCGACAGTTTCTCTCTTGCGACATCCGCAATAGGCCCGAAAATGACCACTGGCCTCAAGAAACCAGCTTTTATGCAGGAGAAATAACAGGTTAACTAGATTTATACAACACTGCTATCAGATTACTTCCTGCAAACATCAACAGATTAACTGAAACTGATTAGCAAAGCTTAAAGGGATACTCCACTTTTTTTGGAAATAGGCTCATTTTACAACTCCCCCAGAGTTAAACTGTTGAGTTTTACCGTTTTCGAATCCATTCAGCCGATTTTCTGATATTTAGAAGAAAATCAGTAACCAGACAGTTTCTGGTCTCATTGACTACCATAGTATATTTTTTTCCTAGTATGGAAGTCAATGAGACCAGCAACTGTCTGGTTACTGATTTTCTTCTAAATATCAGAAAATCAGCTGACTACATTTGAAAACAGTGAAACTCAACTGTTTAACTCTGGGGGAGTTGTAAAATGAGCCTATTTCCAAAAAAAGTGGAGTATCCCTTTAAAAACAATAGATGTCCAAACCACAAATAATTAAAGCAACTAATAGGCGGCGATAAGAGCAGGTGCCGTACCTTCTCGAAGCACCACTCTTTCATAAGCAGGGAACTTTGTTTGGACGGGCTGAGCGGAAAGGTCCTCTCTGCTCTTCCTCAGGTTTCGTTTGGAGCTACGGAGGCCTCTGAACCTCCAGAAGTCGGCCCGATCCCCTCCTGGAGTCTTTGGGAGAGTGTACTGGACACTCGATAGCTGCTCAGCCCTGCAGGACACAAAACATCAGTCCAAACTTGAATGACAACATTTCAAACAAGCATGACTGCATGCCAACTAATACAAATGGTTTCAGTACCTATTCTTGTTGGGGATGATGCCCCGCTCCACCTCTTGGTGGTTCTTGCCGATGCGGATGGCAAGCCAGGAGCCCAGTTTGCCATTGTAAAGGGTGTCAACCACTCTAAAGACCTCACCCTTGTTGAAGCTCAGGCCGTAGGGCGACTCCTTCTCATACTCAAAATGGGTCCTGATGTAGAACGAGTCACCAACGTCGGACTCTACAATGCGCCGGTACACTGGGAAGCAATGAAATGTTTATTATTATTATTTTTATTTAGCAGTCCTGCTAAAAAACTTGAACCCGTTTATGGTGGCTTTGCTGGCCAATCTAACAAGGTCCCAAAATTCCTTCAAGAACCAGAGTAGCCTGAGTACACTTTTAGAAGAAATGGTTCTATTTAGAACCAGAAATGGTTCCATCCCCCGCTTCATATATGGAACTCCAAAATGGTTCTATATAGAACCATTTTTATGGTAAAAGGTTCTATTGGCCAAGTATGGAACCCCAGGGTTCTATATAGAACCCAGAGGAACCCTTTTAGGGGTTCCAAATACGTAGCGCTGATAGAACCTTTTAAGGTTCTATATAGAACCTTTTCTTCTAAGAGTGTAGGTTATAAAGGTTCCCATCCCTCCACAGAATCTTTTTGCCCTTGGACATTGTATTACCAAAACCAAATAGTCCAATTAAAATTTTATTTTACTTGGTGTTGTCAGTTATCTTAGAAACTTAGACACTTAGAATAGTGTTAACTGGTTAAAACAATTGATTTTGAAAAAGAGAACCAATTAACCTACTATCTTTTCCATAGTGCTGACTGGTCATTTTCACACATGTACAAGTGGTGCTCACTGCAGAGCCAAACGACATCCAGCTCCACCTCTCTGGACGATAAATGACATAAAAAATGTTTTAAAATGCCAATCAGAGAAGGGCTCCTCTCCCACGGCTCTGCAGTGAGCAGCATCTCCACATTTAGGCAATTAGCCCATAAAGAATTGATTGGACGTAATCAAGCTAGGTTATGATATTATTGGTTCAATTATTTTGTAAATGAAAACACATTAACATGCTCGTCATCTATTGGCTACTTACAACCAAAAAGCTATTTAGGCATTGCTGTAACAAAAGTCAAGCAAGTCTAATTAATTCCTGATGGATGAAATCAAGTCCCGTATACCAAGAGCTGACAGATTGCATCCTCACCATCTTTCTTTTTCTGGGCTAAGATGGTGACTTCTTCTCCTTTGGGCAGGTCCAGTAGGAACAGCACTGCCTCCTCACGGATGATGTTTGCGAAATCCACGTTGTTTACCTGGAAATGATTCGAAGAAAAGCTACTTAGAACAAAAAAACCTCCTCTCTAAAAGGGACTAATGAATGGGCAGAAAGTTTCAAGAGGCAGGTTTGTGAAAAAGTGTGATTGTGTGGTGGGTGGTGAGGTTTGCGAGAAAAGGGAAAGTGACAAATCTGTTCTGAATAAAGAATAAGCATGTTGGAAAAACCCAGCGAGGAAAAGAAAGAGGCTGCGTTTGGCAGCGAGGTGAAGGAAACCAAACGTCACCGGGGAAACCATCCTGAGAGAAGGCAAGCATCTTCACACACTGAGGTTTAATACCATCTATACAGCACAAGAGGGACATTTTGGAAGGGGGAACCGCCATAAAACTAAGACTGCTATTAAAGAGCCCGTAAACAGAAGGTTATAAAAGCCGGGACACCAAATCTCCCTTCACCCAAAGGCCTTTAAGAGTCCCACTCCGGTTATTCATCACAAGAGCTAAACGCCACCACAAACAACAGGCTGAACGGCTAAGAAACTGTAAGAGATGCAATAGCTTGAGCACAAACCAAATCAGACGCACACATAAAAGTAATGATTTTTATACTGTACTACAAACTGTATATTCTCCTTACACTACTCCCTACCCATTTCACAAAAACGTTCGGCATTTTTACATCGGCAAAAAACACTTAGTATGATTTATAAACAGTTTTTCTCAAGAGGACCAACATTTTTTCACAAGGCCACACACACACGAGTCAGATCCAGATAATGGGCAGCAAATTATGCTGTCTCATCTACCAATTATTAGCAAAAAGTTAAGGCAGCATCACATGTATTTTTTGCAGATGATTCTGTGGTGAACTCAAAAGTCAAGACGGCAGAGGATGATGGAGTCAAAAGGATTCTATATTCTAAACAAATGTATATAATATTGAAATGTATCATAAGAAAACGGTACAATAGGCTTAGAAACATCTATTTCATTTTTATTACAAAAAATGAATATTATATTATTATAAAAATAGCTCAAAAAGTATTTTTCCCATCCATTTTTATAAGCCTTTAATGTGCACTTATCTTTATGAGGGAGTTATCTACATGAAGCACAAGTCATCAAATCAAAAATATTCATATACACTTCATTTCAAAAGTTTGGGGTCAGTAAGATTCTCTCTAAAGAAGTTTCATCAAGGCCACATTAAGGCAAAAGGGGTGCACGATATATCGGCCACCATATCGGTATTGGACGATATTTGCTCATTTTTATGTTATCGTTATCGGCTCGATAATAAAATTTGGCTGATATATATTAAAGCTGATAAATATTGAATTAATTCCTTCAACAGTTGACACCTGAAACACTTAAGATGCGCACTGTTCAACATGATTGATCTTAATTGCTTGAAATATGATTGGAATCAAAAAGGAAAATACAGTTAATTGCAAAATGTGCTGTCATATCAGCTACATGAAATTATAATGAGAACATTTTAATTGTGAGACTTTTGTTTTTGCAATCAGGCTTTCAAAAATTATATAAAAATTGGATTTAGATTTATCGGCCGATATATCGGTTATCGGCTTTCAAATACAAAGAATTATCGGTTATCGGCCAAAATGTTCATATCGGTGCATCCCAATTGATAAGTATAATCCTTTGGCTGTGAACATGCAAAGACACATTCGGTGCATGCACACTACCAAGTTGATAATAATCTGAAATGTTTCTTGAGCAGCAAATCATCATTATAGAATGATTTCTGAAGGATCATGTGATGCTGATTCAGCTTTGATCACAGGAATAAATAACTGTTTTCAAAATGAATATATTTTAAAACATAAAGTATAATAATAATATTTCACAATATTGCTGTATTTTTAATAAAATAGATGCGGCCTTAGTGTCAGACTTCTTTCAAAAATATTACAGAACCCATACATTTTGAACAGTCGCGTCTTCATAAATAAACTCAATACATTTTTTAAACAAGTTGTTTGAGAGTGAAAAGAGACCAACTCTTTTACATCATTCGCAATGCTTCATGGGAGTGGGCAGTTACTGTCTGCCATAGTCCTCGCTTCCACAGTAACGGTGGTGACTGTATGATTGCTGGATCACTAGCAACCAAAAGTACAGTCTCCTGATGACCTTTCGAAGTAGCTGCCTATGTAGACAGCTTTTGTAGATGGAAGTAATTAATCAGTGAACTCACCCTGAGAATCTGATCTCCCTCCTCCAGGCCCTCTTTAGCAGCAGGACTGTCCTCCAGAACTCCCGCCACAAATATCCCGACATCATTCCCACCAGCGAGTCTCAATCCAACACTCTCGCCCTTCTTAAACTTCACCAGCTTCATGCTCGGCCTGAGGGTGGACAGTACACGAACATGCATCTAGGGACGTTTCATTCTCAACATCTCTAAAACGGTTTTGAGTTTGGGAAAGTTGGTGAGAGACGCACCGTAAAATGCTGTCATCATTTGTGACGCTGGGCACGGGGGCGTCTGCCGGACTAACAGGCAGGTCCACGTCAGGCTGGCCGGGTTGAGCGTACACAGGCTTGGGCTCTGAGGGGATCAAAGCACATTGAATAGCTGAGTAAAATACACACACACATACACACGCAGAACTGTCACCACATGAGCTTGTCGCACACTGGGAGGTCAAAGACGCCCAGCGGGACGAAGCAGGTGGGAAGACACTGTCACAACTGACAAACTCCTGCTGTTCATCACCAGCTGCGCACAAACACAAGCCCACGTGCACAGGCAGGGAATGTTCCATCACAGTGTATCCATGTGTAATGACCTCTGACCTGGCAGAGGGGGGAGCTGTTTCTCTTCTCTGGCTGCGCTCTGCTCTTTCGGCATCTCCTCCACCATCTTAGCAGGTAGAGGAAGCGGCCCAGCTTTGGAGATCCTGTCTTCATCACGGCTCCTGTGACTGGGGGTGTAAAGAAGAAAAGCTGTTAGAATCCCACACAGGAAATTATTTCACGAATTAGAGCGTAAATGTTGTAAATCTGTGGATGAATCATTCTTTGAAGTTCTTTCTTTTTAATGATTTGGTCAAACTGATATGAGAAGCTATTTAAATCAGTGGATTGTGTGCGACAAGTTTGTTAGGGGTAAGGGGAGTGATATGTTTGAACGAATCTTCGTCAACTTGGGTTTATCTGGAAGACTGGAACAAATACAATTAGGATCTCGAACTCCAATATCTACACTTACATGATGTATAACTAAAAAAAATGCAGTTTTGTAGAATTTATCGATAATAATATTGACTTTTGCCAGTGTTGAATGATGATGAATCAGTTTCGAATGATGACTCGTGAATCAGTCGCCCAAATTCATTGCAAGAATCTAAATGAACCAAAATCTTGCAACATGAAAGACTTCCCAGATTGGTTTCACTAACTCTTATGTATTGTACAAAACTGAAATTATTATAACTTATAATATGTCTATTTACCACTATTATTGATTCAAATCCTAAATACTTATTTTCTTACAAAAAGGGACATGCAAATAGCCAAACTACTAGAATATTTTTGATCGATGACAAACTAATCAGTGTGTTTTTTCTCTTCAAACAAACCAAATCACTAAAATGAATCAAACCTCAAAAAATCAACTTTACTGACTGGTATCCATATCCAAATATCAGATAAGACGGATATAAAGATCAGAGATTAAATATGTACTTCTTAAAGAGCACATAAAATGCCTAATGTCTGGAAACACTTGACTAACTTTTTTATTCATTGAAACAGTCAAAATAAAATGTGCTCAAATGAATCAGACATTTCAAAAACACATTTTCTCCAAAGGCCACAAACATTCTCGACACAAGTACCCAAACGCTTGGCAAACTAAATCGATATTCGTATATCAATGAGGTACTTTAACCCGCAATCTCGTGTCGTGGCGGTAACCGACCTCAGTACTTCAGGCGGCTAGAGTTGTCCTCGTATATCTGTGCTATTAAAACCACAGGTCAAGCACTGAACTTACTTTAACAAATTTGCTCGACAAGATTCTTAAATTGCAGACTTAAAAGAACTGACACTTAACGCGAATATATCCACTCTAGTGCCCCTTGTGGCAACGCTGAGAATGCCAAGTGTTTGCGTTCATGTACTTCGTAGAGTATGTTTCAGGCCGTAAGTGAAAGTACATCAACAACACGCCTGTAATCCAAGACACGGAAAATATACACGGTACAGTGTGGAATGAGATGAGCTTTGTGCTGTTCGGTTAAAGCTTTTGATGATTAATGCATGCTCTGCTCTCAGCAGGACAACCAAAAAACAACGCCGCTTTTTCCACACTATCGAGCCTAAGCACACAACCCATAAAACACTGTTTACACTGAAAGACAAATGGCAGATGAGAACGAGGTAGATGGGGAGAGAGGGAGGACGATGTGTGGCTAGGGCAGCTAGGTAGTCTTGAAGGTCACAGCTGTTTTGCAGCTCCTTTGTTGGACTATATTTAGCGCAGACCATCTGATCTGGAGTAATGGAGGAGAGAGAGAGAGAAAAGGACTCCAGGTGCACCACCGCCATGGAGGCTCTCCAAAAATCGGCACATGGCCAAAGATGACGGGTCCTGCCCGTGACCTTTATTGTCACAGTAAACAACGGCGAGCGACATCTACGGATTGCAGAAACTCTCCATCTCTGCAGGGCCGGGCCGCCACATGTGGTCCTGTTTTATTCATGACAATGACGAATATCTTTGTGGCTCAATAAAAAGCCTTGGCTGATTGAGGATAAGTCTATGGCATAATGCACTATACCTTAACAGGCTCTTTACAGTTATTATAATCAATAAGATGAACTACAAGAGAAAAAATGCTCAGTGTAGTTGGGATGGCACTTGCATTGCATGTTGGGCTCTGTTTCGAAGAAATAAGGCATTCTGAAACAGGGATGTGAGGAGTTTTTATTCTCAACAGGAAATTAGATGTGTAATTCAGTACTGGGACCTAATATCGGACACCGTTTTATAGTACAAAAGTGAACAAAAATGCCCCACCAAAATGTATAAACACTACTTGTTTTAAAAACGAGCGCATGCCCATGTTGGCATCTGCCCGATTTGGCTAGCGTCCATCAAGTGACTTAAAAACCCAACGACTTAAAATATCATAGCTTTTTCAACTTTTTTCCTCCCTTTAAAAAGTTGATAATCCTATTTAGTTTGTGATGCACTGGTTTAATTCACTAATCTTTAATTGAAAGAGAAAACAGAGAGAAGAAAATCTTAAAACACTTCCTTTCCTCTTTGTTACCAGGCTGGTAAAATCAACCAAGCAAGAGAAAAAACAAAAGTTAGATCTTGTTCGTACACAAGGTTCAAACCAATGTCTATGATACTTCTCAATAGCAGTTGTTCAGCAAATGCCATGTGACTAATCACTCTGAAACATGATTATCCTGACTGGCTGATGTCAACACAAGGACATCCACAAGACATTACTCGCCCTCAAGTTGCTTCAAACCTGTATGAGTTTCTTTATTCTGCTGAACACAAAGAAAGATATGTTGAAGAATGTCGGTAACCAGTCAGTTGATGACTTCCATTGACTTCCGTAGTATTGGATGGGGTACATCAACTGACTGGTTACCGAAAAACAAAAACTTCTTTCAGAGAACTGATTACTGTTCAGAGAATAATAATTAAATAACTTAAAGGGATACTCCACTTTTTTTTGGAAATAGTCTCATTTTACAACTCCCCCAGAGTTAAACAGTTGGGTTTTACCGTTTTCGAAGCCATTCAGCCGATTTTCTGATATTTAGAAGAATATCAGAAACCAGACAGTTTTTGGTCTCATTGACTTCCATAGTATATTTTTTTCCTACTATGGAAGTCAATGAGACCAGAAACTGTCTGATTACTGATATTCTTCTATATATCGGAAAATTGACTGAATGGATTCAAAAACAATAAAACCCAACTGTTTAACTCTGGGGGAGTTTTAAAATGAGCCTATTTCCAAAATAAGTGGAGTATCCCTTTAAGGGATTGTCATAAAACATTCATAGTACATATTTTATAAGTTAAATGTTTTATTTATACCAGTTTTTATCAGTTTTCCCAATAAACATATTAGGAAACCTTTTCGCAAACATGGTGCCTTGCCCATTCTGGCACCATTCCATGTTTCCACACCCCCAAAAAAGGTGGTTCTCAGATTGGCTCGTCAACGGTTGCATCCATTAAACCTGTTGGTTCTCAAACCACGAAATTCAGCGATTTTCAGTGAAAATTTTTACAAAGCAACTACTACTAAGCTTTCAGCTGCCTTTGTCTTCACCGATTCCAGATTTTTGTGTCTACGCACATGGTGCAGGTGGTGCTTCAATCCAATTGGACGACTTTCAAGGATGGTTGGCAGAGCAGATGTGCCTGTAATACCAAGAACTCTCTAAGGCAGAGAACTACTACTACAAATGATGTTAAAAGCAGCATGTTTTCGCCTACACTGCGAAACTGACAGCAGCAGCTCTTTGGAGATCGTGTGTATTTGTACGTTACCGACAGACACCCCTATACTTGTCTTTGCTCATCAGAAAAGGGGAAACAGCTGAGACCAGTTCAGTGAAAATGAATAAATGAGAACGAATGGAGGGATATGTTTGATGTCAGAGACGCATGATGGGATTAGGCACACAAGCCAATGAACTCCCTGTACACAAGTTGGTTTGTTGGGCTTCATTCCCTTAGCCAGCGTTGTGACGTTGGAATGATGAAATGAACATGTCAAGTAGTTCACATACATTTTCAGCATACCACACACACACACGTTGGGTTACATCAGCCCCGTCACATGCTTTAGTGCAAAGCTCACAAAAGCGTTAGTTTGGTTAGCTATGTTCAGGACGCTTGCGTTAACTTAACCGGACCCATAAACTTACACTGGTCGGGTTCTCTGAGTCGTCGGCCCTGCGGCCCTGATTCAAAACAAGAATCAGAAGAAACTTCATGAACACCTACAAACTCTAAACATGTGTGGGGTCAATTCTGGCTTGTGTGAAGTGTGTAATTTCTTCTTCTTAAACAAAAGCCAGCCAACCAGTTGGAGCCTTCTCTAAAAACCCAAACAGAGCATACTTTCAAAGTGTCGGAGAGTTTCCTCTCTTCCCGAGTCAACCTATAAATGACCTGCTGATGCTTTCAAGTGTTTGAAAGCATTTTACCATCAAAAAAATAACACACTTCACCTTTAAATTTAGGAGGATGGCACATTTGCAGGGAGATGAAATTCCTCTCATCCTCTACCGCTGTCACACCCTGGTTTATCTATCTAGGACACATCCAATTTACAGGAGCGTTTTGTCAAGAGCCGCAGTACCGTCTGACAGAACCTTTTCTCGTATGCCTGTTCTCATATCAGCAGTGAGCAGGCCTGAAACGTCAGCTGTTAAAGTTCAATCTGTTGAATCTTTTAAAACAGGAAGACTTTAATAAGGAGGGGGGGAAAGAGAGAGCCAAAAGAGACTATTTTTGAGATGATTTGGCTCCAAAGGGTAGTACATTTACGCCAGGTGAATCAGACCGCTGATTTCATTTGCAACAACATCTTGAGTGAAAAGTAATAAAACCGAAAAGGTTTCGGACCTGCCATTGCTGATCTGCGGTGGAGAGTGTCTGGAGTGGTCCGAGGGCTCTGAGCGGCGATCCGGGGATCGAGACCGGCTGCTTCTCTTCCGATCGTGGGATCGGTTGGAATGATCGGAGGCCACGGAGTGGATGTCTGAAATGTCTAACACAAAGATCACATGATTTCACACCATTACAGGTGTTTGATACAGTATACTAAGTCTAAATACTTTTTCTAAAAAAATAATCCTAATGGAATAAAATAAGGGTCAGCTAAGAAAAACATTTAAAAAATAATAAATATTTTAAATAATTTCTGGTAGTTTTGTGCTTGTGTCATTTTTATCATTTAAAAGAAAGATTATATATTATATATATTTATATTTATTTATTTACTTGTTTTTTTTTTTGTTTTAATTTTAGTAACTTAAGCTTGTTTTATTTTAGTTAGTTGCCAAGGGAACATTTCTAATTTCTGTTAAAGTTTCACATCCAATACGTATAGATAATTTTAATTTAGCTTTATTTTTGATTCTAAAAGTTTAAGTTTTAGTTAACAGTAACAACACTGCTTAAAACATGAAAAACAATTTACATATTTGAAAAATGTACTAAAAATGTATTAAATATATAAATAAGACTAAAATAACCATTAAAAACTGTTTAAGTATAAAACTAAATTTAGTGAGGTTTATGCTTAAAACCACAAAAAAATGATATATTCACTAAACAATAAAAATATATTATTTTATATGTATATATAAGATATATTCCCTAAAACAATAAAAATATATAATTATTATCAGGCAATTAGCTTGCTTTGTTTAGATGTTTTTACTGTAAAACAAAATTTAAATAAACTGATATTCTAAAGAATAAATAAAAAGTGCATTTATTTAGTAGGATCTCTTTGTGAATTAAAGTTACAGCTTTCTAACTATAAATAAGCAGGTGGAAATGAAAAGAATCAACCAAATCCACTTTGATCAGACACTCCCTCACCATCTCGGTCCGAGGCATTAGCTGAAGGTATGCTGTCATCCATGTCGGGGATATTGAGCAGGGTCGCCCTCTCGTCTCTCTGCACCACCATCTTCAGCTTGCCCTTTGACCTCTCGATCAGTTTCTTAGCGTCGATCAGGGACAGATTCTCAGTCACAGTGCCATTAATCTAGTTCCAGAGTAAATGATAATAAAAAAAAAGATTTGAACACTGTCATTTATCTCCATTAGCAAATGTCTGCGTTCTCTCATAATTCCTCACATCACTAAATGCATCACTTCAGTCACGCTCGTCACTTCCACACTCCCTTCTCTCTCTCCATCTGTTCCCCCTCCCCTACAGGTGGTCATTTATCTTACCTTGAGCACCACGTCTCCCTCCTGTATGTTTCCGTCTCGGGCTGCCAGGCTCTCGGGGGAAATGTCCTTTACGAAGATGTGGCTGGCCAGGCGAAGCCCGTATTCTGCTTACAGAGTAAACCGCAGAAACACATACAGCATGTTAGCATATGTTAGCTATGAAGTTGCTTTTTTTTCCTGATGGAAACCTGCACACACAACCCTTTTTCCTGTAAAAAATGACTAACTTTGTTTTTCATCCTTTAAGGCCAGGCAACCACTGCCGGCTGGTTCCATCAGTAGTGGGCGGGAATCTAAAAAGAGAAAACTAAAAAATGACTAGCCGTTGGCAATTCTATTGCCACGGTGTGCGTAGAGGGTTGACATAGCAAAAATGTCATGGGGACTAAAACATTAAACTTCAAATATGTTCTGACTGGATGAGATTATGTTGTTTTGTGCAGCATTTTCAATTTAATGGGGACCGACCAGCTAAAAACGTGTTGTGCTACGTGATTGGACGACACCGGTTGGCAGGCTCGAAGCGGCCATGTTCACCTTCATTTTTGCGGGACTTGATGAGGGTGACCTTGGCTGGGCGAGGGGGGAGGTTGGAGGACACAGAGTGGCGGTCCGAGCGTGGGGACAGACTCCTCTCTCTGGAGCCGCTGCGCTCTCTGTCCCGGTCCCTCCTCCCGCCCAGCCGCTCGCCCCTGCCGCTCCTCCGGCCTGTGGCTCCGCCCCCGCTGTAGGCGCTCCGGCCGCTTCGTGCCTCATAAATCTCCTCTTCGTAACTGTCATCGTCCTCGTCGTGCTCCGACATGGTCTCGCGCTCACCCGTGCGCCCCATAGGGATCTGCACCTTCCTCTTTCTCCTGATGGTCTGGACAGGAGAAACAAGACGTGATTATTCACAATTTTTTATCTCAAATAAATCTCTAAAACATTCTCTTATGGATTTTAGTGCAAAATAAATGAGAGAGAGAGAGAGAGAGAGTAAAGAAAAACAAAAAGTGGGATACATACAATTTTTGCATTCTTCCCACTTTTCCGAAGTTGCTGCACTGCATATGCATGATCCACGTTGTCCATGGAGACGGCGTTGACCATCACCACCCTGTCATTCTCCCTGCCGGGGGCAAAAGGTGCAAAAAGCAGTAAGCAAAAGTGCCACTCCGACTGATCTCAGTGCAAAGCTTGATCAGCAGTCCTGTGTGCGCTCATGCGTTTACACGCTAAGAATCTCCATGGGGGCGAAGAGCAGATTTTAATTTTACATTCAAGTAAAATCAGAGCATTCTGGAAAAGAAAATCTTTCACTATGGTCTATAAAATTTCTACATCTAAAATAAACATATATTTGTCTATTTAATAAAACGAAACGTTTAAAGGATTAGTTCACTTTTGAAAAAACTTTTGCTGATAATTCGGATATCCAAGATGTCAAATGTCTTTCTTTCCTCAGTCGAAAAGAAATTAAGATTTTTGATGAAAACATTCCAGGATTTTTCTCCATATAATGGACTTCAATGGGAACCGGATGGTTCAAGGTCCAAAAGACAGTTAATAACAGTTTCATATGCAGCTTCAAATGTCTTTAAACGACACCAGACGATGAATAAAGGTCTTATCATGCGAAGCGATCGGTTATTTCAAAACTTATTCCAAAAATGTAACTTTTCTAAGGACAAATGCTAGCCTTGCTCTATTCTGTAAGGCGCGTTTGTAACGTCACGTAATACGTAATTACATTAAAGGTCACAGGCGACGTAGCCGGAAGTACAAAGTCAGTGTTTACAAGCTGCAAAACGTGCAAACTAACTCAAACGCCGTTTACAAAAAAAGGAATTAAAAGGTAAAACAACGATGTCGGACGATTTTGATTCTGTACTTCCGGCTACGTCGCCTGTGACCTTTTGAACGTAATTACGTATTACGTGACGTTACAAACGCGCCTCACAGAATATAGCAAGGCTAGCATTTGTCCTTAGAAAAGTTACATTTTTGGAATAAGCTTTGAAATAACCGATCGTTTCGCATGATAAGACCCTTATTCATCGTCTGGTGTCGTTTAAAGACATTTGAAGCTGCACTGAAACCGTCTTTTGGACCTTGGACTGTCTGGTTCCCATTGAAGTCCATTATATGGAGAAAATCCTGGAATGTTTTCATCAAAAACCTTAATTTCTTTTCGACTGAGGAAAGAAAGACATGGACATCTTGGATGACATGGGGGTGAGTAAATTATCAGCAAAAGTTTTTTCAAAAGTGAACTAATCCTTTAAAAGGTCACATTATTGACATTTCATTCTATTTGATCAAATTCGCCTAATTGTAATCAAATTGAGGAATTAAAGTGGACCTGAATTAGCATTCTCAATAAAGGAGGTAAGAGATGAGTCTTACTGCAGCAAGCCCTCGGCTGGGCCTCCCTTCAGCACATCAGATATGACGATGGACGTCTCCCCGCTCTGAAAGTGAGGGTTATCCCTTCCGCCTGAGATGGCGATCCCGAAGCCGAACCCTGGTGCCTGTGAGACACACATCTACATGTTACCCATCAGGTGAGAGGGACACCAAAACATTCACACCACAGTGGAAAAGCTGGAGAGGGACGGAATAGGACAGAGAGAGAATGAAAAGATAAGAGATCGGAGGCATGGAAAGGAAGATAAATGAGGGGATGTGATGGTCAGAGAGATACAGAGAAAGGGCAGAGAAGGGCAGAGAGAAAGAAAGACTGTCACAGAAATAAAGAGGAGGGAAAAGATACGATAAAACTCTTGGACCTAAATTCCATAAAAGTTCATAAATTGTCGACTTGAACAGTTTTAGTGTAACAAAATGACTTTAAAAAAAACTTCAACGCACATAAGTGATACAAACTAGCAACATGTTCATAGCTAACTAGCATAACTGCAATGTTGTAGTGCATGTGACATCAAGTAACAAAAGTAACAAAACCACGACACAAAACGTAACTTATGCTGCCTTCAAGTGTTATCAGAAATGTCCTATTCCCCACTTCTGAAGTTATAGGTATGAGCTCATTCAGCCATCAAAAAGGCTGAAAAACTACATTCAAATGAAATATTACTAATATTCAGATTATAAGATGACGCAATGAGCAAAACATTAAATGCACCGCATTAAACGGTTTATTCAAAGCAATGAAATAACACGGCTGTCTTTTAAAAAAAGTGCGCAGCGTTTCAACTAACGTTTAGTGATCAAATGTAATTTCATAAATTGCATAAAAAATATTAACAAAACAGAATAATTTATTTATGCAGAGTTAAATATCATCATGGCATCTTGTTCGCCACTTCTAAAATTTGAATAAACCGTTTTTGCATTTGAATGTGGACTTTTATTTTAAATTCGAAGGATATTCGAAATTCAAATTTTCATTTGACAGCACTAGAGCTTGTCACATTTGAGTGCTTTGTTGTTGTAGAGAACAGAAATAAATAACAAAATGATATGAAGACTTGAGAGGGCGTTCATGTCAAATTTCCGACAAAGAAACTTGTATTTAAGATAATTCCGATGTATATATGTGTGTGTTTGTGTGTGTGTGTGTGTATGTGTATATATATATATATATATAAAGAGGAAGTCTGGGCAGGACAACAGATTATAGTTACAACCATGACCAGACTTAGTCAGAGGTTTTATTTCATTGGGTCTTCAAAACAAGTAAAGCAAGTACTCAAATAAAAATCTGCCAGCTGAACATCTTGAAATAGAAACGTACTTTTTATCAACAAGTCAAACAAATCAAATGCGATTCTACCAATATTTCTAACGGTTTTTATTGTATTACGCAGATCACACAAACAGCATGATTCGATAAGCATCCATACTTGGCTTCCCGACACAAATCAAAAAAAGAGAAATTGATTCTCACCCTGTGTAGAGTTACAGTGTGCTGTTCCCATATTACAGTCTCCTCCATTGCTGCACTCTGTATTGAGAGAAACAACAAAACAAAACAGAAAGAAAGAGATTAATAGAGAAACACACAAATCGTTAGATTAACATCAACAACTTTAATTGGTTACATTCCCACACGGCCTCAAGGATGCAGATGCATTCATTAAAATCAAGCGGGTTACACACACATTCGGAAATGTCTTTGAAAGCGTTTCAGCGCTTCACATCCGTAAATACCTTTAGAAATCCTCCAAAGACTAAATGATCTTCCTACACGTTATGTAGCAGACTTGGAAATGATGTAACAACAGACACGGAAACAAGAAAGGCAGTGAAACCGTAACGCTAGGCTTGAGGAGGAGAAAGGAAAGGACTGCTGACACACAGCAAAGCCACCTGAGGTGCTCAAACATTGATTTATTCACGTATTTCTCCATGGATTCTGCAATGCAGTCACCTCCAACAGCAGCTTCACACAGTTACTGCACAACGCCAGTGCTGCACAACTGTGATCCTACAGATCATCAGATCCAAAGCACTGCATACTTGGGAAAAACAGACTCGCATCTAGAGAACGATTTTATGTAGTCGTATGTGGTGGTGATAATGTACTACAACAGGGTGATGCGGAGGGTTTAAATGTGAGCGAGAAGGATCGTGGGCTGTAACTCCAGAAATCTTCCGTGAGAGCAACTGTGCCTCCCACTCAATCACATCCGTGGCAAGACCTCAAGTGAGGAAATCCATGAAGGATGAGGAATGTCACCAGTGTCAGGACCAGAGGCAGCACCTGACAGGATATCCACAACACACACACACACACACAAAATTGTTACGAAGGAACTCACATTAACACGACCATGCACAAGGTACCTGAACAAATGCTAAAACTTCAAACTAAGGGTACGTTTACATGACAACGATATGCGCTATTACACATCTTCTGAAAGAGTACTCAATCTCCAGATCAAAACACAAATAAAAAAGGAGCAGAAACAAGTGATAAAAGCATTCATTTGTATTATTATTAAAAGTTACTTTAGTATTATTGATATACTATTATAGCACTTTTTTGTATACTTATAATAATAATGTGTTCATTTTAGCTAGTTTTAGAAATTTTGTTATGTGCTTTTGTCAATTTTGTTAGTTTTTGTTTTCATACATTTCTATTTATCTTTCATTTATTTTTATTTTAGTTTTAGTACTTATTTCAGGCAACATTTCTAACTTTAAATTCATTTTCATCTAATACTTATATTTTATTTTAGCTTTATTTCAGTAGCCAAAAACGATTTGTAATATCAATTAATGACACAACTGTATCAAATATTTAAATATTGATTAAATATAAAGTATTATATATATATATATATATATATATATATATATATATATATATATATATATATTAGGGCTGTGCAAAAATTAATTGCGATTAATCGCATCCAAAATAAAAGTCTGTGTTTACATAATATATTTGTGTGTGCTGTATATAATTATTTTGTATATATAAATTACACACACAAGCATGTATATATTTAAGAAAATGTGTTATTCATATATGAAATATTTATATTTATATAATATGGATTATGTATTTATATATATATACAGAATTTAAGCGCAAATAATTCTTAAATATATACATGCATGCATAGGTATTTATATATACAAAATAATTATATACAGCACACACAAATATATTATGTAAACACAGACTTTTATTTTGGATGCGATTAATCGCAATTAATTTTTGCACAGCCCTAATATATATATATATATATATATATATATATATATATATATATATATATACACACACACATATATTATACATATATTATACAAAATAATATTGATATAAAGCAATATTCAAAATATTCACATATTTTGTATATTCAAATATAAATTGGTCAATAAATTGCCATTAAAGTCTGGCACATCAGATATGGGACAAAAAAAAAGTACATATTTTGCCTAAAGGTTAAATAAAATACACAGTTTGATTAATAATAATCAAATAAAAAATAAATCAAAATTCTATATGCAACAGGAAGCAAATGTTTGAAAATCTGTATAGTATGTTTCGGATGCTTAAAGGAGAATAACACATTGGCACCTAGTCAGCCGTTCTCTGAGATTTTGTTTTCATGATAGTCAAATGTAAAGAGTTTTATCTCTAAAAACTGTTTAGCGTATAACGCTAGTATATGGGGGAGACTGTTTTCCAAATATGGCTGCTGCCTGTATACACGAAGTGGACTGTCTTTATAAAACATCTTTTTATTAAACGGTTTGTACAACGTTCTCAATGCTTTGTTTTGCATGTAGGGACCCTCATTATGTTACCGTGTTACTGTGAGGCTATTTTGAGCCTTGTTAGTGATATTAACTAGCAATTTCTTTTTACGTATTATTTTCCCCCATATACTAGCATTATACGCTAAACAGTTTTAAAGATAAAACTCTTAACATTCGATTATCATGAAAACAAATCTCAGAGAACGGTGGACTATGCTAGGTACCGATGTGTTATTAGACCAAAGGTTCATTTTGCGCCGGAGTTCTCCTTTAAATAGATAAGGTTTCTGTAACAAATGAGAACCGTGATGAAAGGGCTGATAGCCTTATGTGTGAAGCACAAGCGATTGCCTCCTGATGGTGATAAAGGATAAATGACGTCCCCGTGTCACATCTTCACGAGCTAAAAGATCAAGTCTCAGTCCATCCGTCCAATTCCTTTGACCTCGCAGATAATAACTCAGGTCTCATTCGCTTCACGGCTCTGACTTCACCTTACATTGGGCCCGTCTCAAACCGCACACTACGTCTTGTTAGCGTGCAGCTAGTTAAATAGATCTACTACAATCTGACAGCAAGAGTTATGTTTATCGGTCTCTTGCCAAGGCTAAGAAACGCCTGCGGTCTGATCCCTGTAATCTCAACTGCGTTTTATAAAGAGCCTGAGAATTGTACAGCACAAGCAGTTTTGGTTCGACTGGGACACTAATCTGACCAAATGAGATCTGCTGATGAGAGGGACTCATTAGTCCAAACTTTGGTGGTGTCTAGAGAGAGAGTCAAGCGATATACTTTGAGGTATTTTATTCACTGTGCTAGATTAAACTGGTTAAAATGATAATCATGATTATTTTGCTAAAAAAATAAATAATAATATTCATGTGTGCATAGTTGCCAGGTTAGGAAGATTAAGTAAAACACCAAGCAGAAAGGCTCTGACTGGGGGATTTAAACTCTTGACATCTGGCAACCGAAAGCATGAAAGCTTGTGGAGGCTTGTTTCCAAGATGACGCAAATGTCAAATGAAAATTAAACTTTTTCAGGATAAATAACCAATTGGCAAATATCAGAGACGTTTATGCTTCATTAATCGAGAAAAGCCAAAATCGTGATCACAATTAAATAAGACCTATAATGCTTTTGTTTAACTTCCTTTAGTATAAAATGTTGGTGTCTGCAAAGTTACAAAGCACAGTCACTCCAAAGGGAAGCGCTGTTTCTGAACTCGTTCCCAGAATTCCCACCCAAGGAATCCGTAAAGGGGGGGAGGGGGTGTGTGTAGGCAAGGCCCGGTTGGTTTCATTGGTAGTGTGTTAAAACTAGGGATGCACGATATATCGGCCAGCATATCGGTATCGGCCGATATATGTTCATTTTAAATCTTATCGTTATCGGCCTGGTAAGAAAATTTGGCTGATATATTAAAGTCGATAAATAATGTATTATTCCCTTCAGCTGAGACACTTGTTGAGAACTGTTTGTTTTTGAATTTCTTGAAATATGATTGAAATCTCTTCAAAAAATGAAAATCTGGTGCAACGCAAATCTGTCATATCGGCTATACAACACTATAATGGTGCGCTTGGGACATGGATTTAATTGTGAGACTTTTGTTTTTGTAATCAGGCTCTCAAAATTAGATAAAAATTTGGATTTAAGTTTATCGGCCGATATATCGGTTATCGGCTTTCAAATATAAAGAATTATCGGTATCTGCAAAATTTTCATATCGGTGCATCCCAAGTTAAAACTTGTGGTTATGGTACGGGGTATGACATTTATGAAACAAAATCAAAGCTGCGGACCAATCACAACACACTGGTCCAGCAGACCAATCAGAACCCATTGCGCTTTTCAGAAGGAGGGGCTTCATAGAGACAGGAACTAAAAGCGATACTGGCAGACAGGGAAGAAAGGAGCTGCAACAATATATAATGTTTAACATTTATGCATAAAAAACCTATTCTAGTAGTCAAGACTGTAAAGGGATATAATATGGCCTCTTTAAAATACAATTTATTCCGCTTTAAGCGGCAATAGTATTCCCTCTAAGAAAATGTGACGTTAGTCCCCCATCGCTCTTATAACATCAGCCAAACAACATAGCAGCGTAACGAAACATGACGGACTATGAATTCAAATAAAACCAAGAGTAGGTGCTGAAAAAGAAATGAGGAGGAGGGAGGAAAGAGAGAGAATACAAGGACAGTGCATTGGGGGAAATGTGCTGACCTAGGGGACAAATACTGCAAGCTCAACCCTTCACCTGTGCCCTGCATGGCAATGAGGAGATGCTTGGATCGATCCGGTTCCATTAACATATCCTGCGTCTCTGCGAGGCTTGTTAAAGCCACAGCTACTCCCCCAGTGGGATAGTCATGCTGGACTTTCCATGGCATATTGTACAAAAATGTAAGCTAGACAAGGCTATAGATACAAAAACAAAATAGTTGGACCTTAGTTGGGATAGATTCAATGTTATTATTTGGGATGCGAGTAAAAAAGAGGCCATTCAACTCAAATGTAACAGCAATGCTCAAATGGAGATGTATTTGAAGCTGCAACTTTGCGAAGAAGGTTTTAGCATGGCATAATAAATGCTAATTCTGATTCTTTTAAAAACGTCACTAACGTTCTGTTTTGCTCCGTCCAACTGTTTTTGCATACTTCATCAATGAAACTGGATGGTCAGTTTGAAACAACAAAAAATGATCATAATATAATGT